ACTGCTGAACAGCTCTCACAGGAAGTTCTTCCTAATGTTCAGGTCAAATCTCCTTTCGTGTAGTTTGAAGCCATTGTTCTGTGTCCTAGTCTCCAGGACAGCAGAAAACAAGCTCCCTCCCTCCTCCCTATGACTTCATCTCACATATTTATACAATTGTGATAGCCTCTACATCTCTCCAACACCTGTGTCTATTTCGCTAGACATAAGAATCAAATGAGATTAAAGTGTTAGGATAGATTGTGATGAAACTGCTCCATAGTGTTCCACTCAACTGTAGGTAACAGGGCTGGAAAGGGGTCAATAGGAATGGTGAGAAGTAATTATGTGCAACAACTATAATGAAATAGTAACGAAATTTTATCACGCCCGTTATAGTAACGAATTTTTCATTAACTGGGTTGTTGTGAATTTTCCACGCTGTATGGCCATGTTCCAGAAGCTTTCCCTCCTGACGTTTCTCCTACATCTATGGCAGGCATCCTCAGAGGTTGTGAGATCTAGGTTCTTGTGGGGTTTTTTTTCGGGCTTTAGAGCCATGTTCTAGAGGCATTTCTCCTGACGTTTCACCTGCATCTATGGCAAGCATCCTCAGAGGTAGTGAGATCTGTTGGAAACTAGGAAATTATAGTAATTATGTGTAATTACTATAACAAAATACAGTAGTCTCGCATATCCAACATAAATGGGCTGGCAAAATGTCAGATAAACAAAAATGTCAGATAATACAGAGTCTCCTACTGTTACCTGTCCCATGCATCGCTAGACACCTGGAATATTAACAACAGGGACTCAAAGGGTTAAGGCAAGGCAATGCCTCGGGGCTAAAGTGGCCCATCAGGAAGTGCCCAGATGCAGAAGAGGAGCATGGAAATCACATAGAGAAGGAGGGGGGAAGATTTCACTTCCGGTCCTGTCTCTTTTCCCCCTTTCCTTACCCCCCCCTCCTCCTCCTCGCCTTTTTCATTTATTGGGAATGGAGAGAGAGTTGGGGAGCTCTCCTTTAATTGAAGGGAAATGCTGGAGGAAAAGGGGGGTGTCGGATAAGAGTATCGGATAAGATGGAATGTCGGATAAGCGAAGGTTGGAAAGCGAGACTCTACTGTAATGAAATTTCGTTACTTTTGTTAGAGTAACGGATTTTTCACTAACTATACTTTAGAAACACTTTAGAATTGAAGCACTAGCACCCTCTGTTTTGTAAAGACTTTTGAAACACTTTTTATTGATAGCACATCCCTACTGACCATCCAGATGCTTACATTTTTAATAACCACCTCTCATCATTTTAGGGAATTTGGGAATACTGATTCTTTCAAAATACATACACCACAAACAAAAAGCCTTTTCTTATTCCAGATGTTTCTTTCTGAGATTTCATCTGTTCACTGTCCAAAGGTTGTCCAGAAAATAGAGAGAAAGAGAAGGGAATTCCTCCACTACACTGTTAGCAACCACCAATTCTCTTGACCTTTCAATTAGGCCTGAGATTGGCAATTTTAGGGTAAAGGGATGCCCTCCATAATGCACCAAACAAGTGCGTTCGACAATGCGCAACTGTGTGGAGAGCTATGACATATTTTTCTATGCCACTTTGAAGCCCTGTGGATCACAAGGGTCCTTCTTTGTTTTCACTGCTGAAATGTCAAAACAGGGCTGAAGCAGGAGTAAGCCAAGTGAACATGTGGTTTAAATTTAGCTTGTGTTTATTCCCAGTCTACTGTTTTTGGCTCAGGCTGGTGCCCACCAAAGAGAAGAACATCCTGTACAGAAAATAAAGCCCCTCCCTTCTGCTTGTAAATAAATCCTACTCAAGGAGTAGCAAATGTCCTGTGTCGCTATGCCCAATCACATGCATGTGTGCCCATCCCTTCAGAAAACACCCGACAGCTTACAAAAGAGAGTCGAAACTGACACTCTATCATCCGACATGACTTTCATTCAGCCAGGGCTACTTATTCATGGCTTGCAGAAGTCTCTCTCTCTTTCTTTTGCTCACCTTGCTGGGATCAATAGGAATATAGTCTAGAGAAGCAATAGTCCCACTGCATTCTACTTTGTTCAGCCCTCATCTGGAATGCTGAGAGCACCACAATATAAGACGGATATTGACAAGTAGAAGGGCAGCCAAAATTATCCAAGGTTTGGAAGCCAAATCCTATGAGGAGTGGCTCAGGGAGCTGGGTCTGTTTATATTGGGGGGGGGGGGGGGAGACTGAAAGGGGACATGCTAGCCATGTTTAAATATCTGAAAAGTGTCATGCTGAAAGCAGTGACATGCTAGACATGTTTAAATATCTGAAAATATGTCACATTTGGGGTTGGGGTTAGGTGGCAAACCTATTTTCTGCTACTCTAGAGACTAAGACACAGAGCAATGGATTTAAATTGCAGGGGGAAAAGTTCATCCTAAACATTAGGAAGAACTTGCTGATGGTCAGAGCTGTTTGGCAGTGGAATATGCTGCATTGGGGCCCATCCAGACAGTACCTTTATCCCAGGAAGCATATGAGAAGCTTGGCCTGTTATTGAACATTGAGAAAATCAAAGTGCTCTTCCAGCAGTCACCAGCCAACCTCCCTCCAATGCCAGAAATACAGCTTAATGGTGTAATACTAGGAAACGTTGACTATTTCCGCTACCTTGACAGCCACCTCTCCACAAAAGTCAACATTGACATGGAAATACAACACCGCCTGAGCTCTGCAAGTGCAGCTTATTTCCAAATGAAGCAGAGAGTGTTTGAGGACTGGGACATCCGTAGTCCAAGACCAAGATGCTTGTTTATAAAGCTATTGTCCTCCCAACCCTGCTATACACCTGCAAGACATGGACTATGTACAGATGTCACATGCAACTCCTAGAACGATTCCTTCAACATTGCCTCCAAAAAAAATTCCTGCAAATCTCTTGGGAAGACAAGTGGACAAATGTCAGCGTGCTGGAAAAAGCAAAGACCACCGCCATCAACTCCACAGAATAGGGTTCCACAGTCACCTATGGACCCACCCCTCAGTCCACCAATCTTGGAAGACAATCCTACTCAGTCAAAGAGGGATCGCCTAAGTAAGTAAGTAAGTGTCCCAGGAGCTTCTGCAGCAAACAGGAGGATGGCCAGATGCTGTTCCCTGTAAACATGGAAGCAATAATTACGAAAAGCAAAACCCATGACATTTCCAGGTGTGGAAACATTGCGATTTTGAGCTGAATATTCGAATGTCTGTATGTCCCCGCAATTGTAAATCACGGGATTTTTTATCTAGGTTTGTTCCCAGTTTTTCTATATTTGTTCCTGATTGGTCAGTTCCTAAAAAGAAGGTGATACTTGAGTAGAAGGCAAAAAAGTTGTGTGCCAGAAATTTCATGAAACATGTGGAGGCCACATTTTCTCTGGCCAGGACAAAGTTGTGGCCCCCTAGTAAATGTTGTACATCTTTTCGCAAGAAGAGCAATCAGGAACAGCCATGTATAACCCAAGAACAACACCCTGTTGTTTGATGCCACAAGTACATACCAAATCTGTCTGGACAGATGTCCAGGCAGCCAGGTTCTAAAAAGTGTCAATAATGACAAAGTTCTGTTCTTGGCTTGAAAGTGTGTGTTCCTGTTCTATTGTGCAGTGCTGACTTGGGCAAATTGGTCCTACCCCATAAACTTTGTTTGTGTGGCAGATACTTCATGAAATGTCTGGAAGGCACAGTTTCTCTGGCCAGGACAAAGAACAGAACATTTGCAGTGATTCACTGCAGTGATTCTCTGAATATCCAAATATCTGCATCTTGAGGTTTTTAAAAATAACACCAACGTTTCTGGTGGAAGTCTCTTGGCGGGCATCTTGGGAGCCGCTAAATCTCGCAACAAAGGATCAAGTCTTTAACAAGGGAGGCAGAAACCCTGGGACCAACAGGTCTGTATGTAGTCCAGGGATTTTTGCCCCTGTTTAAAACACATGATTTAGTACTATCTGGAAGTGCCCTCAGAGTGCAGTGGTGTTTCATTCTCTGAGATTTATAAGCAAGCTGGATATCCATCTGTCAGGAGGGTTTTGATTGGGTGTTTCTGTATGGCTAGGAATTTGGTCTGGGTGGCCCTGCCAACTTTATGGTTCTATGAAGTATGTTGATTGCTTTTCCATACCTCCTGATGGTGAGCCATGTCTCCTTCAGTTGCACCTTTTTTTTTTCATGTCAGGAGCGACTTGAGAAACTGCAAGTCACTTCTGGTGTGAGAGAATTGGCCGTCTGCAAGGACGTTGCCCAGGGGATGCCCGGATATTTTGATGTTTTACCATCCTTGTGGGAGGCTTCTCTCACAAGGAGCTGGAGCTGACAGAGGGAGCTCATCCTTGGATTCGAACCTGTGACCTGTCGGCCTTCAGTCCTGCTGGCACAAGGGTTTAACTCATTGTACCACCGGGTTCTCCTTTATGGTTTATAGTTGCATCTATAAACTGCCATGTCAGGTTTCATTTATATATTATTTATTTATTTAAAACATTTATATTCCGCCCTTCTCACCCCGAAGGGGACTCAGGGCGGAGCACAGCATATATACGGCAAACATTCAATGCCGGGACACAAATTCTTATATACATACATAAACATTAAAAACATTTATCAAAATATTAAAATACACCATTTAAAACCATCCTAGTCATCCACGTCAAATCTAATTGGCCTGGTAATCTTTCCTATTGCTGCTTTATTGCCCTGTCCCGAAAGCTTGGTCCCACAGCCAAGTTTTTACCATCCTTCTAAAGGACAGGAGAGAGGGGGCCGACCATAGGATTATGTTGCACTAGGGAGAAAGGGATGAACTGCCAAATGTTCTCACTGTGTTTGTTGCCCAACTGGCACTAAATTGGCACTAGTTGCAGAAAAGTGTCTTTAGAAAGTGTGTTCTGGGAAGTAACTGTCTGGCCTCTTTTAGAATCTTGTGGATGCTTCTATCTGTATTTGGAAGGGGGGGGGGGTTCTTTCCTGCCATCTCCTTTTTTAAACATTTCTGAGTGAATATAACTGTGCCAAGTGTACAGTCCTTTTTTGATGTCTCCTCCCATTTCAAGAAGCAAGCTAGCCAGGGCTTTCCCCCTCGTCTCCCAAAAACATCTCAACAACTTCAGAGAGCCAGAAACGTCGCTGTGTTCAAGGCTGACAAAGCAGCTCTGGTCCAGCTTCCCGATGTCTTCTGGAATGACGCCCCTCTCCTTTGCCACCTGTCTCATTGCCACTTGCATAGCTTTGGGTGAGTAGGAGAGGCTGGGGGAGATTCTTAAAACTCCCGGTTTTCCTGATACCTTGCTACAAATGATGTCAACATCCTTTTCCGTGCATTTCTTTTCCTATAGTGTGGGCTGAAGCCCTTGGAAATGAATGCATAAAGATTTCCATTTATATTGGCATGCTGTTAGATGGGTGCAATATAAAGAATTTTGTTGTGTTCTGTGAAGTGTGATGATTGGTGAAGCTTAGCTGTTGAATAATTTCTATCTACTCCGGGCTGAGATGACTGGTAGATCAAAATAGTCTTTCTGGATGAAGCTCAAATGAAAAAACAAGTTGTTGATGCAATTTACAGAATTATTAATTCAGGATTTACTGTCTTATTAAGTATTTACTGGTATTTTTAATGAAGTTGGACACTACTTTACTTGACATGGCTCGATGCTATAGGATCATAGGACCTGCAGTCTTTAGCTTTCTCGTCCAAAGGGTTCTGGTGCCTCACCAAATTGCATACAGTAGTATTCCATAGCATGGAGTCATGGTAGTTAAAGTGTTGTCAAACTGCATTACTTCTACAGTGTAGATGCACTAAATTACACAAAGAGGAGTCACTGCCCCACCAACGTGGGAGGTAATCTTCTAGATACACTATATGGCCTGCTTACCCAGTGTTTTAAAATTTTAACTTTGCAACTCATCCTACCCACTATGATTACGGTAATTTTATATTGTTTGGTGTATTCATTTACTGTATATACTCGAATATAAGCCTAGTTTTTCAGCCCTTTTTTTTAGGCTGAAAAAGTCCCCCTCGGCTTATACTTGAGTCAAGGTTATTTCTTATTTTACTCATATTATTGTTATTGTTATTATTATTATTATTTCATTTATTATTTTATTCTATTTAGTATTATTAGTATTACATTTATCATTTTACTCTATCATTATACATGTATTATTTTACTGTACAATTGTTGTTATTGCTGCATTCATTATTTTACTCTTTTTATTATTATTGTTATTATTACATTTGTTATGTTACTCTATTATTATTTTATTACATTTATTATTTTTCTCTCTTTATTATTGGAAGGATACATAAGCACATTTACATTGAAGAAGGTAAATAATCATTTAATTCAGAGTTGGACAGTCTTATCTTAAATTACCATTTTTGTAAATATTCAAAAATATATAACCTACTGATTCCTCAATTAATGTAATTTAATTGGTATCTATTTTTATTTTGCAATTTATCAGTAGCTGCTGCATTTCCCACCCTTGGCTTATACTTGAGTCAATCTGTTTTCTCAGTTTTTTGTGGTAAAATTAGGTGCTTTGGTTTATATTCGGGTCAGCTTATACTTGAGTATATACGGTATATTATTTTGTATTTTATTTTTTATTTCATTATATTTTACTGTTTGTATTTATGTTGTATATTTGCTTTGCTGTACTGTTGGGCTTGGCCTCATGTAAACCACCCCAAGTCCCCTTGGGGAGATGGTGGTGGGGTATAAATAAGGGATCATCATCATCATAATCGTCATCATCAACAGAGTTCACTCTTTAAACTTTCTGAATGCACCACTCAGGGGCCACACTAGATTTTGGAATTAGTGCATGCTCTGATGAGAATAAGAGAGCCTCTGTCCTCATGGTTAAAATGGAACAGAGAAGTTGGAAAAGGAACATGAAGAGGTGGAGGAAAAACAAAACCTGGCACTTGTTTAGAAATGTTGTCCTTATTTGCTGTCATGTTCACTTCAACTTATGTTGACTCTATGGCACTCTATTTTTAACTTCCATGTTCAGCACTTGCATAATCAGGGCGGTGGCATCCTCAGTAGAGTCCATCCATCAGTGTTATAATCTTTCTCTTTTCCTACTACCATCACCTTTACCTAGCTAGCATTGTCATCTCTTCTAATGAATCATTTGTTTCATGATATGTCTCAGTTTAATCATGTTGGCTGACAGGGAAAGTTCAGGCTTGATTTGCTGTCTGATCCATTTGTTTGTGTCTGTGTTAGTCCATGACATCCATAGAGTCAAATAACTAAAGCAGTGTTTCTCAACCTTCCTAATCCTGCAACCCCTTCATACAGTTCCTCATGTTGTGGTGACCCCAACCATACAATTACTTTCGTTGCTACTTCATAACTGTAATTTTGCTACTGTTATGAATTGTAATGCAAATATTGATTTATTTATTCAAAACATTTATATTCCGCCCTTCTCACCCCGCAGGGGACTCAGGGCGGAGCACAACATATATACGGCACTCAATGCCGGGACATCTTTATAAATAAAAATGTAAAGTTCGTTTGTGGGATTAAAAGTACTCAAAAACCACTGGACGAATTGACACCAAATTTGGACACAGTACACCTAACAGTCCAATGTATGTCCTTCACTCAAAAAAATTGATTTTGTCATTTGGGAGTTGTTGCTGGGATTTATAGTTCACCTACAAAGTGCATTCTGTAGGCCTGGGTAACAACGGAAAAATTTGTTTCTAAAATCGATTCGTTTTTTGGGGGGTTTTTGCGTTTCGATATTTAAAAGAATTCTGAAATTTTTCTTTTAAAAAGTTCGATATTTACGAAATTTCGTAAATATTAAAAAAATTACGAAACATTAACGAAACAAAAACGAAACAATAACGAATCGATTCGTTAATGGCGGACGCGACCGCGCAATACGCTAAAAAACCTCCAAATGGGACAGGGGGAACTTCTGAAGCTTCCCTCTCCCTCTGTTGTTGACTGTTGGTGTGATATTATAATTTTTTTTCCACTAATTAAACAAAAAACAACTATAAAACTTGCCCCAGACATGCGGAAATAATAACGAAACGACCTCAAACCGATAACGAAACGAATACATAACGAATCCGAAGCATTTACGAAATGAATTGAAAAATTCGTTTCGTTTTTAAGTTGCTCCAGAATGGTTCGTTATCGCTTCGTTATAAGAAAAAATAACGAATTTTTAACGAATTACGAATTAACGAAACGAAACCGCCCAGCCCTAGCATTCTGAACCCCACCAACGATGGAACTGAACCAAACTTGGCACACAGTTCTCCCATGACCAACAGAAAATACTGGTAGGGTTTGGTGGGCAGTGTCCTTTGTTGGAGTTGTAGTTCACCTACATCCAGAGATCACTGTGGACTCAAACAATGATGGATCTGGACCAAACTCTACACGAATACTCAATATGCCCAAATGTGAACACTGGTGGAGTTTGGGGAAAATAGAATCTTGACATTTGGGAGTTCTAGTAAAACTATAAATATACACATATTTTAAAATCACTTATATCTACTTTAAAAGCAGTTGCTTAAAAACCATCTTATGACACCATTCTATTATTGCCTCATTGCACTTGGTAGCAAAACCAGGTCTTAACCATCCTTCTGAAGGACAGGAAGGAGAGGGCTGATCTAATATTGCCAGGAAGGGAGTTCCTTAGTCGGGGAGGAAACACTGAGAAGGCCCTGTCTCTCATCTCCGCCAAACGCATATATATATATATATATATATATATATATATATGATATGCATATAAATATCTGATATTTATTTATTGATTTTATTACATTTATATGCTGCCCTTCTCACCCCAAAGGGGACTCAGAGTGGCTTACAAGATATATATACATACAATATATTATATTATTAGCATAGTACAATATCAGTATTATATATTACTATACCATTATATTGTAATATTATCTTCCCTATGAACCAGTGCGTACCTTGAGATCTTCTGGGGAGGCACTGCTCTCTCTCCCCCTGCCATCACATGCAAGGTTGGTGGGGACAAGCCTTCTCGGTGGTGGCCCCCCGGCTCTGGAACTTCCTCACTAGGGAGATCAGACAGGCTCCAACCTTGTCCTCCTTTCGTAGTCAACTAAAAACCTGGATGTTGCGGTGCACTTTTAACTAAGCAGCTCACCAGTAACTTTCTTGTCCCTACTTGAAGTTCTGCACTTTACACTGGCCAGCATTTTACACTGGCATATGTCCTACCTCAACAAGTGCTTGACAGTATTTCCTGCCCAGTTTACTGTATTGTTGCACTTTCCTGCACTCCTGTAAAAATGTATTGCAGTCATTGAATCTGTACCTCAGCTATGTTTCTTTCAGCTGTATTGTTTTTATATTGCTTTCAGTTGTGTTGTTATTTGTCTTATCTGACATTTTAATTGTTAAAGTGTTTTACATGTGTGTTTTAATTGTAATCTTGGGCGTGTCCCTTGTAAGCTGCCCCAAGTCCCCTAGGGGAGATGGTTGGCGGGGTATAAAAATAAAGTTATTATTATTATTATTATTATTATTTATTATTATTATTATTATCATTATTATTAATAATATAGTAGTAATATTACATGGAATATAAAATATATAATTATAATATTGTATTATTGTTAGTATTATATTGTATTACATTATAATATTATAAATATTATATGTATATACATGTGCCATCACACCCAGACACTATAAAGTTAAAACTAAGATGTGCTTCTCTATCCGGGCGAACTGCGGGTGCCTTTCTTAGAAGCTCAAGATTCCCAGCAACTGAGACCAGTCCAAATTTGAACATCAAACAGAACATTTATTTCTCAAAGTCCTTGACAGACTTGGCACAGCTTGATGAAGTTACAAACACAAACAGTCAATTTAGGAAACCATATAGATGTTCTTTCTTTCCCTTTTCCTTCAGTTGCCAAGTTAACTTTCCCCCAAACAGTAGAAAAATCCTGGGATCTTTTATCCTTACCCTGAGCTGCTATCTTTCAGAAAGAGGAGGTCTTCCCCTATCCAAGCTCAAGATTAGTTTTGGAGATGAAGTAATGGAGCCTCTCCCAATGGCAGAGAATTCCTGAAATATTCTCTGCCCCAGGGCTGAGCTACTATCCTTTAGAAAGAGCAGGTCTTTTTCTATCTGAGCTCAGCACCAGTTTCAAAGGCGAGAGGGTAACCGTACTCACAATGGCCTGTCTGAGCTGCCTAGCTTGGCCACGAGCACATCTGAGGCTTTTTCTATACTAAAGAAGGCAGGAGAGCTTCTCCAAAATGGAGATCTCATCCCCAGGAAAAAGGGCGGTCTCTAGACCAAAAGGATACTTTTTAAAACCAATAACAGCAAAAGGCTTGCAGGCTGGCTTCTAGCCTCTGTTAACGTTTAACTTTCAGGGTGCTGTTGAGACTGTAGCAACCCTGGGGAAAATGCAAAGGGATGCTATTTTATGCAACTAAGGGACAATGCAAACCAAACTCCTGGAAGACGGAACAATACAATATATATATTATATTATTAGCGTAGCACAGGAGACAAGATGGAACTGTCTCCTGCCCCCCCTCTTTACTCTGGCCCACAGCAGCAGTTGGTGCAGGGAGAGGGCTCCCCAACTGATGGCATACGCAGGAGACAAGATGGAACTGTCCCCTGGCCCCCTCTCTCTTCACTCTGGCCCAGATATGTAGTATGTATTTTCATTCACTGGATCAAATTGCGCAGAAATATCCAATACGCCCAAATTTGAGTACTGGTGGGGTTGCGTGGGGATTGATTTTGTCATTTGGGAGTTGTAGTTGCTAGGATTTACAGTTAACCTATGATCAAAGAGCATTCTGAACTCCATCAATGATAGAATTGAACCAAACTTGGCACACAGAGCTCCCATAACCATCAGAAAATACTGGAAAGATTTGGTGGGCATTGATCTTGAGTTCTAGAGTTGAAGTTCACTTAAATCCAGAGAGCAGAAAGAGGGCTTTTGGTGGGAGGATTCACCATCAGCTTCCAAAAAGGAAGAGAAGGACAGACAGAGAGATCTTTAGCCTTCTCTGCCAAAGGGGTTCCTAAGACCATCAGAGATATGTGATTTCTGATTGTCTTTGGCAACCCCTCTGAACCCCTCCCCTCACAACCCCATAGGGATCTGAAACTGCAGGTTGAGAAACACTGAGCTGAAGGGTGTGGTGGCAGATCAACCAACTGCCTCACAGATGGTAAAAGGACTAGATGAGGACAAAGCCTGGAAATAGCTAACTCTTCTTTGATGAAATCTCTGCCCACCTCAACATCTTTCCCAAACGACCATAATCATAGAGTTCCTCCTCATATCAAAAACAGTGCTGGAGTTATCAAAATGGTCATCACCCAATAATTGTATTTCTGAGAAACTATTGGAGGAGATTATCAGTGTTAGGATTCAACAAATAGCAATAGAGATACTCTTATACCATAGAAATAGTACAAGTAGAGCAACTGGGCAACTGAGACATTGAAAACCACATGTTCCCTCCCACCTCTCAATAATTGTGTTTTTGTTGTGTAGTAGATTTAGTTATTTGGAGTGAGACTTCTAAGTACAGTCGGCTCTCCACATTTGTGGGTTTAGGGACCTCATCATATTGATGTCCCCCCCTCCCTGTTTTGTTCCGTTTCACCGGCAATCACCAGTGAAACACAAGGCACGTGTGGCCCTTCACAGCACCTGGCGTACCCACTCTTCTTTTCCCATCAGACAGTGGGGCTGACTGCATATTGATTCTATTTATTTTGCTATGATGGAACCTTTCCTTCTAGGTTGTGAATAACATTGTATTATGTTTAGCAAATAAATTAAATAGAAGGAGAATGTGGATGACCAGAATCTAAGCCCCCCCCCCAAAAAAAAAAAAAAGAGAAGGAAGGGAAAGTGGGAAGTGTGACTTCTTTGCTGACAGATGTGGAGTGTTGCAAAATGAGCTGAACAGCAGGAAAACTAGGACAGCACCCATGGGGGGTGGGTATTTCGTTCTTAACTGAGCCAACATAGAACTGCTTTTCACATTTGTTTCCCTGCTTGCTTGGCTGGTCTTGCTTGTCACTGAACTAGAATCTGCTCCTATCAGACAGGGAAAGGGTGGCAATGCGCATTGCCGCGCTGCACTTTTCTGCATCAGGCAGGGGAAAGGGGCCATAACTGACAGAGCTATCCAAAACTTGATTTACCTTTTGTTTTTGGTGAGTTAGCGTCCATGTATATATATATATATATAAATAATTTACAGTGTCTATATTCCACCCTTCTCACCCCGCAGGGGACTCAGAATGGATCACAATGCACATATGCATGGCAATGGTGACCAAAGCCTGGAGGGGACTCAGGGCGAATCACAATGCACATATACATGGCAAACATTCAATGCCATAGACACACAACATATATAGACAGACACACAGAGGCTATTTAACTTTCCAGCTTCATGAGGGTATGCTTTTTGAATTCCGGCCACTGGGGGAGCTGTCGCTTCACCATCCACTTGTGACACCGATGGAGTACTTCCTCATTCTTTTGCACGCTGCTGGAGAGTTTTTTATGGCATGGTAAATTAGTTAAATTAGCCTCCCCGCATAAGCGGTACCTAAATTTCCTACTTGACAAATGCAACTATCTTTCGGGCTGCAAAGGTCAACAGCAAGCTACACAAATGGCGAGAGCTTACTCCGGCCCAGACTGGCTTTGAACTCATGACCTTTTGGTCAGTAGTGATTTTAATGCAGATGACTCCCAACCAGTTGCACCACAACTCAGTCATGCAATGCCTCCTTGCCACTATGGCCATCAGTGGGGCAGAGCCACAGCCTGTATCATGTGATGGTGCTCGGCAGGTTCTGTGGTCAAAGAGGAGCCAGGGGCCATAAACCCCTTGTATGATGAGGTGGTAACTTTGAACATTTAGCAGCAGCATAAATTGAGCTCCTGATAATATAGAGTCTAAAGACCTTATCACATGGACTTTCAGCAACTTCAAGGACTAGCTTTTTTGCATGAGCTTGAGTGGATGTCAATCCATTTGCTCAGGCACCCTGAGACAGAGAGAATAACAACACACATGAGCAGTTGCATAGTTGTGGAAGTGGGATTGAGGGTAATATCATATGGGAATGTTGAAAGTGGCTATAGACCTTGAAAGAATTGTGTAAAGTGACACTGATCTCTTGAGCATCTTTGAGTCAGAATATTCTTCTGACCCAAAAGTCAGCATAAAATCCTTATTTTGTAAGTTGTACATCAGCAATTAAGGGACTAAGGCTGGATCTACACTGCCATATAATCCAGTATCTGATCATAGATTATCTGTGAACTGGATTATATGGCAGTGTAGACTCATACCAGTTCAAAGAGATAGGCCTGGAAGGAATGGGAGAAGGACACCAAGGTTGGCAGGAGAGCATACAAGAGTTGAATGAAAAATAATGCCTCCACCTTCGTTACTTGGGTTTGGATGGGAATATTTTAATAAATCAAACACAGAAATAATCCTTAGAATGTGCTCTTTAATTACCACTATTCACTTTTCCACATAATCACCAGACAATTGGATACATTTCTGCCAACAATGAACAAGTTTTCTGAAGCCGTCACGGAAGAAGTCGACACTCTGTTTCCGCAACCCATTGTGCACAGATCTTCCGATAGCCAAGCAAAGCAATAATGTGACCCACACGTTCTTGTGAAATGCGATTATGCTTGAAATTTCTCTCTGAGTGATACGACGATTGTCTGAATCAATCTATCAACCTTTTGCTTGTGAAACTCGGTGGTTGCTGTCACAGATCCAACTCTTTGTTTGTCATGCAAGTCAGATGTTCCCACCTCAACTTAAACTTACTTGCCCAATGATGCACAGTACTCACATCAACACAATCACCATAACAGCTTGCATTCTCTGATGAATCTCCTTTGGGGTGACACCTTCTGCTGTCAAGAATTCAATGACTGCACATTGCTTAAGTCGCATTGACCGACCATCTGTGCAGGGTTCCATACTTCACACTTTAACAACACAACTGTTCAATGCTAAGACTTCCTGCTAAAATGGAACTGTAGAGGAGAATCTACTGAACAAGCCAGTACCTGCTGCATACTGCAATCTGTTGAGGAGTTACGAAGGTGGAGGCATTACTTTTCATTCAGCACTCATAAGATCCCGTACTAACAGAACTATGCATTAACAATAACATGTGATGGTTTTATCCTGCATCCCACATTGGTTTCCATGATTGTTAGCGGTGGCTCCAGTTCTCACATCTCCTGAAGTACTTGAGGATGAAGCCTCACTCTTATTCCTACCCTTGAAGTCTCTGTTTGAACCCCTAGAAGTGAGAGGTAGAAGTAGGGCATACCAGATTTCCAGATTTCTCAAGTCTTGGATCTACTTCTTTGGTCCTCTGGATGAGAAGAAGAATCTCAGGGAGAGAAGTTTGAAAATTATGTGTGTGTTTCTGTGTCTGTAAGTTATTATATAGAAATAATAATAAATAAGTGATACTGATGTTGCTTTTCCTTTGTTTTTAGGAGCGTCTTTGGAATGTGAGGAATGCATGGCCTTAGGGAGGAATTGTCATGGGAATAAAATAACATGCCCCCCTGAGAAAGATTCCTGCGGCATCATTTCTATGGATACCATGGGTAAGTGGGAAAGAGTTGAAGGAGAGGATGAGTAAGAATTTCATTGCTACTTCGTTTTGGTAAAAAAAAATCACCGGTTTCCAAGGACTACAATATGCCATCTAACTTGTGATGTAAACAGCCTGATGTTTAGAAAATGTATTTATTTATTATTTACTGTATTTAATACCCCGTCCTTCTCAACCCTGTAGAGGACTCAAGGAGGCTTACAACAACAAATAATAAAAACATAAGTATTAAAACAATTGTTAAAACATAATAAATCCTTAAAACCAATTATTTAAAATCATGCAATCCAATATTGTATTCCGCAGCCCTTTCAATTTGTTGTTGCCATATTTCAGCTCTATATGGTTCTGGCCCAGCTTACTTGTCCGAACGCATCCACCCCTACATCCCATCTCGTAATCTAAGATCATCCGGGGAGGCCCTGCTCTCGCTCCCATCAATTGTGCAAATGCGTCTGGTGGGGACGAGAGACAGGGCCTTCTCGGCGGTGGCCCCTCGCCTATGGAACACACTCCCAAATGAGGTAAGATCTGCTCCCTCCCTCCTGGCTTTCAGAAAGAAATTAAAATCATGGCTTTGGGACCAGTCCTTCGGACAGTAGATGTTTGTAGAGTTTAAAGGACATGGACTAGAATGACAATACTAGTGTATTGAATATAGGAACATGGAACAACGGATTATGAGATTGGATCTTGATTCTACCTATGAGACGCTAATGAGATGTTATAGTTATGTTTAACTGATTGTTTATTATATCATTGTTTTTAACTGTTTTTTAACTCTTTTTATGATGTTGAGCATTGAATTTTGCTATTGTTAACCGCTTTGAGTCTCCCAAGGGCTGAGAAAAGCGGTATATAAATGAAGTAAATAAAATAAATAAATTTTCTTATTGTACTGATAGATTACTCATTGAATGCTTGGTTGAATAACCACTCTTTAACCTTTTCTAAAGGTTAGGAGGGAGGGGGCTGATCTAATTTAGCTCAGAAGAGAGTTCCATAGCTGTGGGGCCACCACTGAAAAGGCCCTGTCTCTCATCCCTGCCAACCATGCCTGCAAAGGAGCTGGGATCAAGAACAGAGCCTCCCCAATCTCCTTGTCCGTTCATGGAAGAAGATATGTCAAGAGCCATGGCCATCTTAATCCAACTTACTAACCATAAAGTGCTGATAATAAATGCCTACATACCCCCTATGAGGAAAAAAGCCCAAGTTAAAGCTGCATGGATGGAGCTAGAATCCTACGTTGAGGACCTTATAATGCAGAATCCTGATGCATCTATAGTGCTGGGAGGTGATCTTAATGCAAGGATGGGCCCAGATGACCTCTCTCTCTATAAGCAGCAGAACTGCCCACCACCAGCCTGTGAGGATGAAGAGCCCCTTCTGCCACGCTGGTCCAAAGACCAGAAATTGAATTTTGCAGGCCTATGCTTAACAAGAACAACATATAGGCTAAATCTTCACATCTTAAATGGGGTGCTGAAAGGAGATTATCCAGGTGAATTCACCTTCCTCTCAGGTGAAAAAACTAGCACGATTGACTATATAGCAATCTCTAGGGATTTTATCCCCTATGCTAAAACTCTTAAAGTTATGTCTAAACCTGAGAGTGATCATTTTCCAGTTCTGCTTCAATTACATCTTCCCCCCCAGGAAATCCATTTAACGGAATCCTATAAATCTTCGATACAGCCGACAGAAGGATCCTATAAGCGAGTCAAGTGGACCCCACACATGAATCAAAGAATAACAGACCTGCTGGTGACAGAGCGGCTTACGAGCCTCCGCACTTCTCTGATCTCTGCAGAAACTCCCAATGTACTCATGGAAACCTACAGAAACCTTGTCCAAGAGCTCCAAATTCAGTTACGCCAGGGCAATAATACAGAGGGGACACAGCTACTTCAGCAACCATATCAACAATCACAAACATGGTTTGATAAGGAATGTCTCTCTGCTAAAAAAGCCCTCTCCACTGTTTATCAGAGCTATAAACTCAATCCTACCCCAACAGCTGCACAAGATCTCCTGCTGCAAAAGAGACAATACAAACAACTACTAACCCGCAAGAAGAGAGAGGCTATGAAAAACAACTGGGATCGGCTCATACAAGCTGTTAAGGCAAAGGACACAACCACCTTCTGGCGCATTACATCTAACATACGAAGCTGGGACCGAACTGCAGTTGACTCCCAAATCCTGCCAGCAAGATGGGAAGTATACTTCCAAGAGCTATACAGGGACACCTATTCAGACAACGCGGGCACAAACTCTTGTTCTAATATATCAATGGAAAACCTCCCTACCTGGCCACTTGTGACCACCGCAGAAATAGAGAGACTAGTAGCCCAACTAAAAGCGGGAAAGGCATCAGGAGAGGATGCGATCCCGCCCGAGGTCATCAAGAATAATTTGGATTTCTGGGCCCCTATCCTAGCATCTTTATTTACCTGTATAGATAAATATGGCCAAATTCCTAAGGATTGGGGGTTGGCAATTATTGTACCAATATACAAAAGAAAAGGGAGGCAGGACGATCCAGCAAACTACAGGCCCATTAGCCTCCTTAATACCATTAGTAAAATATACACAAGGCATCTGTATTGGAAATTGTTGGACTGGATGGAACAAGAAAACATACTTGCGGAGGAGCAAGCCGGCTTCAGGGAAGGTCGGTCCACCATTGACCAGTGCATAGTTTTACAGCATCTTATAGAAAAATATACCTCCCAGAGAACATCTTCCCTCTATGCTGCATTCATAGACTTTAGAGCAGCTTTTGACTCTATCTCTCGTATCAAATTATGGGAAAAACTTGGGTCCACCTCAATAGATAGACGACTATTGCAATTAATTCGCATACTACATGAAGGGACCATATTGAAAATAAGATGTAGCCCTCAAGGTCATCTCACTAGGGCCGTTGAAACTGAGAAAGGTGTCAAGCAGGGATGTACTTTGGCTCCACTACTATTTAACTTTTATATCAACTCCATGGTGGAGCACCTTTACAACTTGGACTACCACCCTCCAAAACTGGCAGGAAGACACGTATCTACCCTGTTTTATGCAGACGATGCAGTGATACTATCCAGAACTCAAGTAGACCTGAAAAGAGCCTTGAGAGCCTTAACAAAATATTGTAATGAAGAACAGCTTCATCTTAATTTTAAAAAAACCAAAATTATGGTGTTTGTGAAACGACCCAAGCATTATATCTGGAAACTAGATGGACACAATATTGAACAGGTCTCCAGCTTTAAATACCTGGGAGTATTCTATCACTGCACTGGAAACAAGAAAGTACATGTGGATTACGTAGCAGAGGCAGAGCAAAAGAGCTCATATGCTATCTTAAAGTTTCTCAAAATGGGGGGAGGCCACTACATACCAGCTGCACTTAAGCTCTTTGAGGCAAAATCCATAGCACAAATGATGTATGGAGCCAAACTCGGTGTCTTCTCAAACTATGCCCCTCTGGAGCAAGTACAATCAAAATTTCTAAGATCAGCGATGCAGGTCCCCAGATGTGTCTCAAACCCTGCGACTAGAGACAGGCCTCGTGAGAGTGGAGGCGAGAGTGTGGACAGCCACCCTCAATTATTGGCTGCATCTGTCTTTCTCAACATGTGGCCTTGCTCCGTTAACTCTGAGAGATGAATTTCAGTCTACATGGAATAAGGTAGTGGCAATCAAAATCGCAACTCTAGGCTTCTCTCAAGGACAACTGCTAGGTATGGGATGGGACCAAGCCAAGGATCTTATTAGACAACGGATCCTGGATATAGAGCGACAATCAGACTTAGCCTGCTCTCCAGCATTCACCATTAGCGAAGATAACAGATATCTCATCGCTCCCATGGCTTACTTAGCAAACCTGGAGGTGCCTAAACACCGAAGAGCTTTCACTTTGGCAAGATGCCATGCCCTTCCATCGGCAGTACTGGAGGGGAGGTACCGGAAGACCCCTGCCCAGGAGAGACTTTGCCCGTGTGAGTCTGGCTACATTGAAACAACTGAACATGTGCTCCTCCAATGTGTATTCTATAGAGACATTAGAACTTTTAAAACATCCAGGGCGCACTGAAAGATATTACACCTCCCTGTTGCTCTCGGACTCTTGCTCTGTGACAACCTATAGTGTTGCCAAGTTCTGTGCAGCAGCAATTAACATTACACGGCTGATGACTGACTCCACCAGGTAACTTCCTGCCGGGAATATAGTTAGAATGATTTGTAATAACTGAAATGCTGTAAATGCTCCCCTCTCATCCCTTTTTAGAGCTTCCCAGTTGTCTGATATTTGTTATTAGCCGCCCCCCTATTTTAGATTCATACATGCACTTTAAACTGTAAGTTTAGTCTGTTTTATTTTTTTAATTTGTCTCTTTTATAACATGTTTTTAATCTGCTTTTATACCTGACCTACTTGGGAACTGCGATTCCCTTCCTTGGGCACCGGTGCCCCATTCTATACTGTGCTGGTCAAAGACCGTAATAAATCATTGATTGATTGAATGATACAGGTAAACTGGTCCAGAACCATTTATAGCTTTATAGGCTAAAGCAAGCACTTTGAATTGTGCTTGGTAGCAGACTGTCAGCCAGTGGAGCTGACATAACAGGAGGGATATCCTCTCTCTGTATGCCACTTCAGTGAGCAGCCTGGCTGCTGCCTGTTGGACTACTTGAAGCTTCCGAACAGTCTTCAAAGGCAACCCCATGTAGAACATTGCAAGATGGATGGATGGCATCCTTGAAGTGACTGGACTGACCTTGAAGGAGCTGGGGGTGTTGATGGCCGACAGGGAGCTCTGGCGTGAGCTGGTCCATGAGGTCACAAAGAGTCAGAGGACTGAACGAATGAACAACAACATGATCTGATGATGTAACGGGAGCATGGACCACTGCGATCAAGTCTGGCTTTCCAAGGTACAGGCACAACTGGCACACAGGTTTTAGTTGTGCAAAAGCTCTCCCGTTTCCTTTGGAAACGTTTGTGGGGTGGGGAGATCCTGATAGTGATGTATGTGTGCCCAAGTGTGGCTTTACATGCCCTCTTTTTGAAAAAGGTAAAAGGAGTTATTTTCTAGCACCAAATGCACATAGTTGTAAGGGGTGTACTTCAGGGACTGTTCATGCTATACAAAGGCTGTTTCATCTGCATCAACTGTCTTGTCTGCTTTTTGACTCTTCCAGGACAAACTGCCGTCATGAAGACTTGTGTCCCATCCAAAATTTGTTCCTTAGGCCTTTCTTCTCTCAGCATGGGCAAAGCAGGAGTAAGCAGAACTAACGCAATGTGCTGCACCGGAGATGACTGCAAAAAGGCCCCACCACCTTGTATGTGATTCCAATTCCACCCCTCTTCCTCTTAGACTTTTTCCCAGCTCTTCATCACTGTTGTCATTGTGTGTCTTCAAGCCATTTCCAACTTTAAAGTGAACTACTCATGGGTTTTTCTTGGAGGGACTTGTTTAGAGGAGACTTGCCCATTCCATCCTCTTAGGCTGTGAGGATATGATTCCATAACCAAGCCAAGATTTCCATGGTGAAACTGGAATTGTAACCATAGTGTCCAGAGTCCAAGGAGTATAGAAGTAAAGCAGCTAGACACCGCTTTAACTGCCATGGCTCAATGCTATGGAACTCCAGAAGCTGTAGTTTTGCAAGGTCTTTAGCCTTCTTTTCCAAAGAGTGCTGGTGCCTCACCAAATTACAACTCCCAACATTCCATATCATTGTAGTCAATGTGGTGTCAAACTGCATTAATTCTACAGTGCAGATGCACCCCTAGTCCATCTCTTAAACTACTACATCACATTGACTCTCATCTTCAGCTTTTCATTTATTTATTATTTATTAACAGCATTTATATGCCACCCTTCTCACCCCAAAGGGGACTCAGAGCGGCTTAAAAGATATATTTACATACAACATATTATATTATTAGCATAGTACAATATCAGTATTATATATTACGATATTGCACTATACCATTATATTGTAATATTATTAGTAATATTACATGTAATGTAAATATATAATTATAATATTGTATTATTATTACTAGTATTATATTGTATTACATTATAATATTATAAATATTATATGTATATACAATATACTATATTATATTATTAGTAAAGACAAGATGGAACTGTCTTCTGCTCCCCTCTGTCTTCACTCTGGCCAGAGCAGCAGTTGGTGCCGGAGGGGGGAGGGGTCTCCCAACTGATGATATAGACAGAAGACAAGGTGGAAATGTCTTCTGCTCCTCTCTGTCTTCACTCTGGCCAGAGCAGTAGTTGGTGCCAGAAGGGGGAGGGGTCTCCCAACTGATGAGATAGGCAGAAGACAAGGTGGAACTGTCTTCTGCTCCTCTCTGTCTTCACTCTGACCAGAGCAGTAGTTGGTGCCAGAGGGGGGAGGGGTCTCCCAACTGATGAGATAGGCAGAAGACAAGATGGCAGTGTCTTCTGCTCCTCTCTGCCTTCACTCTTGCCAGAGCAGCTGTTGGTGCCAGAGGGGGGAGGGGTCTCCCAACTGATGATATAGACAGAAGACAAGGTGGAAATGTCTTCTGCTCCCCTCTGCCTTCACTCTGGCTAGAGCAGTAGTTGGTGCCATAGGGGGGCGGGGTCTCCCAACTGATGATATAGACAGAAGACAAGGCGGAAATGTCTTCTGCTCCTCTCTGTCTTCACTCTGACCAGAGCAGTAGTTGGTGCCAGAGGGGGGAGGGGTCTCCCAACTGATGAGATAGGCAGAAGACAAGGTGGAACTGTCTTCTGCTCCTCTCTGTCTTCACTCTGACCAGAGCAGTAGTTGGTGCCAGAGGGGGGAGGGGTCTCCCAACTGATGATATAGGCAGAAGACAAGGTGGAACTGTCTTCTGCTCCTCTCTGTCTTCACTCTGACCAGAGCAGTAGTTGGTGCCAGAGGGGGGAGGGGTCTCCCAACTGATGATATAGACAGAAGACAAGGTGGAAATGTCTTCTGCTCCTCTCTGTCTTCACTCTGACCAGAGCAGTAGTTGGTGCCAGAAGGGGGAGGGGTCTCCCAACTGATGATAGGCAGAAGACAAGGTGGAACTGTCTTCTGCTCCTCTCTGTCTTCACTCTGGCCAGAGCAGTAGTTGGTGCCAGAAGGGGGAGGGGTCTCCCAACTGATGAGATAGGCAGAAGACAAGGTGGAACTGTCTTCTGCTCCTCTCTGTCTTCACTCTGACCAGAGCAGTAGTTGGTGCCAGAGGGGGGAGGGGTCTCCCAACTGATGATATAGGCAGAAGACAAGGTGGAACTGTCTTCTGCTCCTCTCTGTCTTCACTCTGACCAGAGCAGTAGTTGGTGCCAGAGGGGGGAGGGGTCTCCCAACTGATGAGATAGGCAGAAGACAAGGTGGAACTGTCTTCTGCTCCTCTCTGTCTTCACTCTGACCAGAGCAGTAGTTGGTGCCAGAGGGGGGAGGGGTCTCCCAACTGATGATATAGGCAGAAGACAAGGTGGAACTGTCTTCTGCTCCTCTCTGTCTTCACTCTGACCAGAGCAGTAGTTGGTGCCAGAAGGGGGAGGGGTCTCCCAACTGATGAGATAGGCAGAAGACAAGGTGGAACTGTCTTCTGCTCCTCTCTGTCTTCACTCTGACCAGAGCAGTAGTTGGTGCCAGAGGGGGGAGGGGTCTCCCAACTGATGAGATAGGCAGAAGACAAGGTGGAACTGTCTTCTGCTCCTCTCTGTCTTCACTCTGACCAGAGCAGTAGTTGGTGCCAGAGGGGGGAGGGGTCTCCCAACTGATGAGATAGGCAGAAGACAAGGTGGAACTGTCTTCTGCTCCTCTCTGTCTTCACTCTGACCAGAGCAGTAGTTGGTGCCAGAGGGGGAGGGGTCTCCCAACTGATGAGATAGGCAGAAGACAAGGTGGAACTGTCTTCTGCTCCTCTCTGTCTTCACTCTGACCAGAGCAGTAGTTGGTGCCAGAGGGGGGAGGGGTCTCCCAACTGATGATATAGGCAGAAGACAAGGTGGAACTGTCTTCTGCTCCTCTCTGTCTTCACTCTGACCAGAGCAGTAGTTGGTGCCAGAAGGGGGAGGGGTCTCCCAACTGATGATATAGGCAGAAGACAAGGTGGAACTGTCTTCTGCTCCTCTCTGTCTTCACTCTGACCAGAGCAGTAGTTGGTGCCAGAAGGGGGAGGGGTCTCCCAACTGATGAGATAGGCAGAAGACAAGGTGGAACTGTCTTCTGCTCCTCTCTGTCTTCACTCTGACCAGAGCAGTAGTTGGTGCCAGAAGGGGGAGGGGTCTCCCAACTGATGAGATAGGCAGAAGACAAGGTGGAACTGTCTTCTGCTCCTCTCTGTCTTCACTCTGACCAGAGCAGTAGTTGGTGCCAGAGGGGGGAGGGGTCTCCCAACTGATGATATAGGCAGAAGACAAGGTGGAACTGTCTTCTGCTCCTCTCTGTCTTCACTCTGGCCAGAGCAGTAGTTGGTGCCAGAGGGGGGAGGGGTCTCCCAACTGATGAGATAGGCAGAAGAAAAGGTGGAAATGTCTTTTGCTCCTCTCTGCCTTCACTCTTGCCAGAGCAGCTGTTGGTGCCAGAGGGGGGAGGGGTCTCCCAACTGATGATATAGACAGAAGACAAGGTGGAAATGTCTTCTGCTCCCCTCTGCCTTCACTCTGGCTAGAGCAGTAGTTGGTGCCATAGGGGGGCGGGGTCTCCCAACTGATGATATAGACAGAAGACAAGGCGGAAATGTCTTCTGCTCCCCTATGTCTTCACTCTGGCCAGAGTAGCAGTTGGTGCCAGAGGGGGGAAGGGCTTCTCAACTGATGATATAGGCAGAAGACAAGGTGGAAATGTCTTCTGCTCCTCTCTGTCTTCACTCTGGCCAGAGCAGTAGTTGGTGCCAGAGGGCGGAGATATCAGAGGTCCACAAACTTTTTAAACAGAGGGCCAGGTCACAGTCCCTCAAACTGTTGGAGGGCTGGATTATAATTTGGAAAAAAACATGAATGAATTCCTATGCACACTGCACATATCTTATTTGTAGTGCAAAACACACTTAAAAACAATACAATAATTAAAATGAATAACAATTTTAACAAATATAAACTTATTAGTATTTCAATGGGAAGTGTGGGCCTGCTTTTGGCTGATGAGATAGGATTGTTGTTGTTGTGTGCTTTCAAGTCATTTCAGACTTAGGTTGACCCTGAGTGAGGGCTGGGTAAATGACCTTGGAGGGCCGTATCCGGCCCCCGGGCCTTAGTTTGAGGACTCCTGCCTGATATAGGCAGAAGACAAGGTGGAAATGTCTTCTGCTCCCCTCTGTCTTCACTCTGGCCCAAGCAGCAGTTGGTGCCAGAGCGGGGAGGGACCTCTCAACTGATGATATCCCCAGCTTTAAAAAGTATACAGTCTTCTAGGCTGGTACCGAGGATAGGTCTTGTTCTAATTATATTTTTTATAAAACAACCACTACTCTTCTTGCCTTGCCTTGCCTTGCCCTATATATGTCTTCAAGAACTGTGGTCTAGGGAGCAGTCATCCATGTAGCATACAGGATAGCTTTTTGAGTATGTTCTACAAACCCCTGCATGGTGTACATTCTTAAGTATATAGTAGGAGTTGAAACTGGAATTTCTTCAACTGAGGCAAGTGGAAAATAAACAAGAGCACAAGGCATTCATTATCCTTAGTTCACACCCTCAGCTGAACTTTCCCCTCAAAATAGCCCTGAACCTCAATATTACGTGCGGATTCATCACTTTTATGATTGGCTCCTTCTCTCTGCTCACTGGGTGGTCAGATTACTAAATAGTATCAGTCAGAATTGCAGAAAAGATTACAGAGCAAAGGGACTTGCATAGGAGGAGAAATTAAACTGCCTGGGAGTTGTAGGCCAAAACATCTGGGGACCCCAGGTTGAGAACCACTGGTCTAGACCATTTAAACTCTGGCTCTACCCTGGATTTACCAACCAGTGTAGGCTTGACCTTGGACAATGATAGACTTCCCTTGAACTCTTGCTGAGATACCTACAAAGTGTTTCCAAAAGATGGACCCAATTTGAAATTGCTATATATCTGCAATGAGGAACTGCTCATGAATAAAACCGACCAATTGAAGAGTAGGGTATGGAGTTTGATTACTGCTAGGTGCTTTTTCCAGCTTCGAAGCATCTCCAAGCCTCAGAGATTTACAAGAACACAACACAAACCGGCTTACGTTGCGGGGTCACCATCTTGCAAACAACTGAGGCTATAGTGGTGGTTTCTGTTCTGGCAGAGGCATCAAGTGGCAATCATTTGCAACTCTATGTCCCACTCTGTCAAGGGGTAAGGATTTCATTCATGGATGGTTCATGGTTTCAGAGACATGGCAATTTCAAATCTTTTTGAAACATCCTGTATTTTTAGGCTGACATTCTAAATTATAGCACTAACCTGGGGTCACATAACTTTAATTGTTCTGTATTCACTAAATGTTCATAGTTAGAGTTGTGGCACTGTTGTCATGGTCATAAATGCCCTCTTGAACCTACTTTACTAGCTAACAGCTGCATCGGACAAAGAAGGTCTATTCAGCTGAAGGAGGTTTCTAACTCTCTCCTGTGGTGAATGAAGTTGTGACAATCAGAAACAGAACTCGCCCTAATTAGACTACAGCCCTTTGTACCAATTCCTTTTCACTCAAGCCAAGTGGACAGGCCATCATTTAATGGCATTTTCCCTGAACACTCTTTATGCTCAGGCATAAAGGTAAAATAGTTGGCACAGGCTGAATTAAATAGGTGGGTTTATAGACAGTATATCGTGTATATTACCAGCATGGGACAAAATAGCTTAGTGTTGTTGAAGGCTTTCATGGTGGGAATGACTGAGTTGCTGTGAGTTTTCCAGGCTGTATGGCCATGTTCCAGAAGCATTCTCTCCTGACGTTTCACCCACATCTATGGCAGGCATCCTCAGAGGTTGTGAGGTTTGTTGGAAACTAGGCAAGTGAGGTTTATATATCTGTGGAGAAGAGAGTTTACATATCAAGCAGACAAGAGTTATTTCTTCCACCCTGGACATTCCACAGATATTTATTTATTTATTTATTTAAGGAAGAAGAACGGAAGCCATCCAAAACTTTTTTCTTTTCTTTTTTCATCCTAATCTAAAGACCATAACAGAAAAGGTGGGAAACGGGGAGATATCACTCCAATGATGTCACATAACTATCTTCCCAGAAACTGGTGCTATTTGGATGTTATGTATTATTTATTTATTTACAGTATTCATATTCCGCCCTTCTCACCCCGCAGGGGACTCAGGGCGGATTACAATGTACATATACATGGCAAACATTCAATGCCATAGGCATACAACATATATAGACAGACACTCAGAGGCTGTTTAACAATCCAGCTTTGTCATTAGGGTATTCTGGCCACCAGGGGAGCTGTCGCTTTACTGTCCATTTTTGACACTGATGAAGTACTTCCTCATTCTTTGCATGCTTGCTGGAGAGTTTTATGGCCTTGTAAATTAGTTAAATTAGCCCCCCCACATAAGTAGTACCTAAATTTCCTACTTCACAGATGCAACTGTCTTTCAGGCTGCAAAGGATGACAACAAGCTACACAAATTGGTCAGATCGGGCTGCAAAGGTCAACAGCAAGCTACACAAATTGGTCAGACGCTCACTCCGACCCGGGCTGGCTTCGAACTCATGACCTTTTGTTCAGTAGTGATCTTAATGCTGACTCCCAGCCAGCTGCACCACAGTTGCACATACATAAACCTCACTTGCCTAGTTTCCAACAGACTCCACAACCTCTGAGGATGCCTGCCATAGATGTGGGTGAAACGTCAGGAGAGAATGCTTTTGGAACATGTCCATAGTGCCCCCAAAACTCATAGGAGAGAATGCTTCTGGAATATGGTCATACAGCCCAGAAAATTCATCATTCAAAATAGCTTAGTGTTACCAAGAAGTATATGATATATGCAAGCTGTTTCCCTCAATCAACTCTGCAACAGTGTTCCTCTTCCAAATCTTGTGTGACTCGCATGTCTTGCAGTGCCACCCAGAAACACCACTTTGAATGGGAAATCATGTCCGGCTTGCCATGCTTTGAATGCTGAGTGCCAGGAGGAGATCGTTAAATGTACTGGGGATGAAAACCAATGCTTCTCGCTGTCTGGGATTACCTCTGCAGGTAAGGATTCATATATGCAAATGCTCATAATACGTTAAACTGGATACCATCTCAGAACAGTGGTCAGAAGCCATGGTCTAGTGCTGCCTCGGATGCAAGGATAAATCCAAAAATGCGACCAGCTTGACTACTTTTGGCGGATTCCAACTATTGCAGTAGATCAATTGCTAAAAGGTGAATTAATACGTACCTTAATCCATCTCATTCTATAGGTCTGTTTGAATAATAATATAACATAGACTACCCTAGTTGAGTGGAGGTCTATGTAAAATACCCAGAAAACTCTGGAGGACCATCGCCCTCCACCAACCATTCACCAAATATGCGTATTTCAGAATGCCAGTGGACATACACAGGTCTAGAGCTACTTTAGACAAGACACTTTAACTTCTTGAAAATGTACAAAAGAAGGGAAATCACCATGGAGAAGGGAATATGGGATTTAAAGCCCAGTCAAACTCAACTTGTCCACATCTTGAGCGTTTCCAGTTATACCCAGATATAAGTTCATCCATATGTGTTATTATCCACCAAAAGAAATGCAAATGTAAACTCTTGAATCAACAACTCAAGACTAGAAAGTGTATTAGCAACTTTTGTCCTCCAACAACAACTACCCCTTGCCATATGATATGCTAGTTAGGGTTATAGGAGCTGCAGTCTCATAATCTCTGGATGGTGCCCAGTTCCCATCCCTGATATTACATCTTTAAGAAACATTGGAAAACTATTGGCAGCACAGTTCCCTCCACTTTGATGTGACAGGAATGGGTGCCATTTGACATCCATAACCAGACTTATAGATTCACCCAGGCCTGGCAGGGCATGCAACTGAGCATGAGTAAGAAGTGCTCGTTACTCAGTGCTTGGCTGCAGGCCTGCTAGGCCTGGACACAAAGGCTGGGAAGCCCGCACCCATTGGTCCAAAGCTCCTGGGCGTTGGGCCTATGCACCTGGGCCTGGCTGGGCTTGTAGCTGAGCATTGAGTAAGGAGCACTCCTTACTTGGTGCTTGGCTGCAGGCCCTGCTAGACTCAGACACAAAGGCTGGGAAGTCTGCACCATCAGTCCAAAGTGCTTGGGCCTGCAACCAAGTGCCGAGTAAGGAGCGCTCCTTATTCGGTGCTTGGCTTTAGGCCCTGACAGGCCCAGATGCAAAGGCTGGGAAGCCTGCACCCATCGGTCCAAAGCGCCTGGGCCTAGACACCTGGATTTGGCTGGGCCTACAGCCAAGTGCCAAGTAAGGAGCACTCCTTACTCGGTGCTTGACTGCAGGCCCTACCAGGCCTGGACACACCCATTGGCCCGAAACATCTGGGCCTACAGGTAAAGGCTTTGGGCCTATTCACCCGGGTTTGGCAGGGTCTACAGTTGAGCACTAAGGAACACTCCTTACTCTGTTGTCGGCTGCAGGCCCTATGAAGCCTGGGTGCGTAGGCCTAAAGACTGTACCTGTAGACCCAGTTGTTTTGGAGCTACACATGCAGACTTTGGGCCTATGCACGCAGGCCTGGCAGGGCCAGAAGCCAAGCGCCGAGTAAGGAGGGCCCCTTACTCAGTGCTTAGCTGCAGGCCCTGCCAGGCCCAGACGTGAAGGCTAGGATGTTGGAGACGCATGAAGAAAACCACCAGACAGTCAAGGGGGGTGAAGAAGTGACCTCAAAGTTTATTGATCAGCCAAGCTGTTTATATATCTTTCTTGTGCTCTTTGCAAAGCTTGCCTGGTGACAGTGGGTTGGATTACATCATTGGCAGAGTGATTGGCTAGAGGTGAGCTCATCCTAAGGTGAGGTAGCCTACAGCCTACTATCAGTCCCAGGTCATGATGCCCCCTGCATCCCCTTGCCAGAAAGGTGTGAAGCGTAAGCGTCAGAGGACTGGAATCTGCCATGTTCCCCTGGAGGTATGGTGTGCCAGTCCCCCCTAGTGGTACATTGCCATTCCTGCACCTCTGCACTAGGGACACAATGGTGTCTCTCCTGCATAAGGGACATAATAATAATAATGTCCCTTCACTAGGAAGCCTGCACCCATCACCCCAAAGTGCCAGAGCCTACAGGTATAGGCTTTGGTCCTATTCACCCGGGCTTGGCAGGGCCTGCAGCTGAGCACCGAGTAAGGAGTGCTCCTTACTTGACGCTTGGCTACAGGACCTACCAGGCCTGGGCATGTAGGCCCAAAGCCTGCACCAGTAGGCCCAGTGCTTTGTGTCTATGGGTAAAGTCCCCCCTCCCCTCAAAAAATATAAACTTAACGAAAATGGAAAACAAATATCCTGATTTCAGGAAGTTCAGATGAAAATCAATTGGGGGCCCAACCGAAAGCCGAACACAAAATGGATCAAGCTAAGTCCCAAATGCACAAGTCCAATTCATAGTCCCTGCATTATTACAATGATGGCCCTGTTGCCAAAATCGCAATTGCCCCACTGATTTACTTCACATGCAAGAGATAGGTAAGTTGCAGTTAGGGGATGCTTCCAGCTTCCTCTTGCTATCCAGTTCAGAAGCAGGACCTCCCTTCTGCTATTCAGATCTAAAGCAGGACCTTTGTTGCAATTCCTTGCCAGTCTTGTAGGATAAAAGAAACCAAAATGTCCCGTCCCCCCAAAAGGCAAAAGCCCCCTTTCTAATAGGGAGGGCAAGGATGGACACCATAAAAGCTGAATCTTTTAAACTGCAGAAAACCTATTTACTGCATGGCCATAGCAATAATGACAAACAAGCATACAGGAATCCTATCAAAGGATTTGTCGCCACCCCCAATGGTGCTGCAGAGCTTTTGTCACTTTGGCAGTAAATGGAATATACATTTTCATTAGTTCCCAAAGACAAATCATTTCATTGGTCTAAGCTAGCTATACAGTTGTGCATTCGTTTTTTATTATTTTGATTGACATTATAGCACACGATCTTAACAATGACACAACTATGGCACAACTATAGTCTATTGTTCTCTGACCATGACTGTATTGTATCTGTTAGTCTGTTGCAAACATGGCTCCAGAGCAACTGGGAAACTTCGGGTTCTAAACTAGCCACCAGCTAGCCGATTTTGTCTGGTTGTACTGTTATCCTTGTACTGTAACTTCTTCTCTGGAGCACTGATTTCTCAAACAATCAGCATTTTCTGTAAACATAGGCCTATTGCAGAAATAGGCCAATATGGCAGTAAATCAGGACATATGGGCATTGGGAAAAGCTCTGAAAATTCCCTTTTTAAAACCATGTCCCCTATAGCCTCACAGGCTGGTAGAACAGTAGTGGGGTCAAAACATCATCTGCTGATGCTCCAATCACTAGCAGAATGGTCCTCCTCCTGCTCAGGTAAGGCCCAGTAAAGAAGAGTTATGGGGAAGGGGAGGCTGGACTAGGAAACATTACATAGTTATGCATCTGAGGTAGTTATGGACCTAAGTGTGCATATAGAATTCTGACATATTCTTACTTTATTAGCAAAAAGCTTGTAGACCGACATGGCTCTGCAGAGCACTACTTTGAGTAGCCCTGCTTCATCCTGCAGGGCAAAGTTCTTCTTTTCCCCTCTGGATTAACCCTTTTCCCTCTTTCTTGTTTTCTTTTCAGGAACCGTTAGTGCAAAAGTCACCATGAAGGGCTGTGGAAATGAGGCTATTTGTTATGAAGCAAAGCAGAAAAGCTCATCTTTTTCAGGGATCAGTTTAGTTCATGACTCTAGCTGTACTGATGGGGCATCCACCAACATTGCAACTCTTTTTGGACTCCTCTTCCCTGTCCTTACAGGATTATTGTTTGGGAAATTGCTTGTTTAATGGTTTTCCCAGCACTGCTCTCTCTCTCTCTCTCTCTCACTCACTCTCATTCTTTGTGTGTGTGTGTTTAAGGATGGCAATAGTTCTTTAAATGTTGGGAAACGCTGAGGAAGAGAATATTTGTAGTTCAGGACTTATTCTGTTAAAAAGGGAGATTTTTTTTTTTTGCACAGAAATCAGCAACACAAAAATGTTGTTTTCTGCACAAACACACACTCAAACACTTCGTCGAAGTAAGTCCCCATTCTTCCATTAGCCTTATATTCCAAAGAATGCTGGTGCCTCACCAAACTACAACTTCCAAGATTCCTAGCATGGAGGCATGGTAGCTAAAGTATCAAATCGCATTAATTGTATAGGGTAGATGCACTATTAATTATAATTTGTATGTGAAATTGCAACTCTTCAAGCAACCACCAGTGCTCAGCAATGGGATGTTGGCAGCTTCTTGTCTGACTCCAAGCTCCTCGGTAGCGAAGGATTCTGAGCTTTTGCTGGGGCTATGCACACATGTCCAAGTTTTGTGTACAATGATGCTATCAAGAGAAAAGTACACCTACTGGAAGGATGCTTTGTCTCACTCACTTCTAATTACTGTGAAGTTAAGCTGGATAAACTGTGGACTCTGTAGCCTAAGGGCCCTTCCACACAGCCATGTAACCCAGAATATCAATGCAAAATAACTCACAACATCTACTTTGAATTGGATTATCTTAGTCCACACTGCCATATATCCCATTTCAAAGCAGATAATCTAGGATTTGATTCAGCTGTGTGAGAGGGGCCTGAGAAATCCAAGGTCATCATTGGTGGTCAGGAATATTTATCAAGAGAATGGAAGATCGCTTAGGATTTTTGCAGTCCAAGGTCAAGAGTTGTTAGTTGCAATCCCAGGCATCTCCTTAAACAGAGTTGTAAAACTACCCACAAACCAATCACAAGACCAAAACACAATAGAAGACTCCAAACAATATGTTTTTTAGCAGGGTTTTTACCAGAAAGTAGTCAGAGCTCACAAACCAGAAGTTTTCATGCTTGTGCAACTTCCCAGCTGTTGTTAGTTCTTGTTTTTTTGATATGGCCCTCTGCCAAGTTCATTTTGATTCCTACCACACATTGAGTCTCAATGGGAGAGTCTAGGCCAGGTGCTTCTGCTTCTCCTCCTCCTCCTCTTCCTCCTGTCCTCAGCCCCCTTCTGTTTCCCAGAAAGGTCAGACTCATAACATAATGAGAAACCAAATCCAACAACGCCTCTTACAATATTACTGTTTGAGGCCCCTTCCACACAGCTGTATAAAATCCACATTGAACTGGATTGAAATGTGGTCTCAGATCATCCAGTTCAAAGCAGATATTGTGGGTTATCTGCCTTGATATGGCTGTTTGGAAAGACCCTGAGTTATGTGTACCTTCAAGTCATTATATTGTCACCTAGAAGTTTTCTTGGCACGATTTGTTTTGGGGAAGTTTGCTTTTGCCTTCCTCTAAGGCAGAGAGATTGTAACTTGCCCAAGCTCACCCAGGCTGCTTCTATGGCTGAGTGGGGATTCAAATCTGGGTATCCAGAGTTATAATCCAATGCTGTCAATGGCTGCATGGAAGCAGACATTCCAGAAGGTGTTGCTTGTTACCTGGTTGTATGACAAGCAATACGTGCTGAATTTTCCTCTTTTATATAGCCAGACATCCTCTCCATTTTTCAGTTTGGCAACCCCATGCTGCCTCCCTGAAGTAGTATTTATTACTCATTTTCTAGCTGTGATGTGAGTAAAGTTGCTGGTCAGGACTCAGGCACTTCCAGACAGCACTAAATCATGAGTTTTAAACAGAGGCAAAAAATCCCGTGACCATCTCGAGATTTCTGCCTTTTTTCCCAGACTTGATGCTCTGTAGTGAGATTTAGAGGCTCCCAAAATGGCTGCCACAGGACTTACGATGGAAACTGGCATTTTTAAAAAAGAAAAAAACTTTAGATGTGGATATGCGGAGAATCATTGCAGTGAATCACCGCAAAAGTTCCGTTCTTTGTCCTGGCCAGAGAAAATGTGCCCTCCACATGTTCCATAAAGTTTCTAGCACACAAACAAAGTTTTTGCATTCTAGTCAACTTTCACATTCTTTGTTCCTACCAGCCAATCAGGAGCAAATATCTAAAACCCGGGAACAATTCTAGATAAAAAATCCTGTGATTTCCGATTGCAGAGACATACAGAAATTCGAAGATGCAGATATTTGGCTCAAAACTGTGATATTCCCGCACCTGGAAATCTTGTGTTTTTTGCCTTTTGTAGTGATTGCGTCCACGTTTACAGGATATGGCATCTGGCCACCCTCCTGTTTGCTATGGAAGCTCCTGGGATAAAGGTACTGTCTGGATGGGCCGTCAGAAGCATCCTAGGCCCTGATACATCAGAGCCAAAACCTATAGTCTAGAGTTTTCCTTGTTTATATCAGAAGAGGTGGGCCTTAGCAATGTCATGATGCTCAGAGCACATGAGGATGAGCAGCAGGAGGAGAATAAAAGCCAACCCCAAGAAAGCTTTCCAAGTTCCACATTAAACAGGAAAAAACCATATATCCCCACTCAGTTGTTTTATCACCTTTGTGAGGCACTTCTTTTAACAGCACATAGGAGTAGTGATCAAAAGAACAGTTTACAGCCTTCTTTGAACTGAAAAATATCTACAGAAATAAACTACAAGCAGCAGTGCCTACTACAGTGGGATACACAGTAGAATCTGTATGCAATTTCCAATGCACTGTTCTTGCCCTGAGATTTCACTCCAACAACCCAGAGCCAGAGAAAAGGGACCGGAATCTGAGATCTGGGCATCTTAGGAGTGAGTGAAGAGGCAAGTGATGTTTGCCTTGGACACTCCCACACTGATCATGCCAGCTGAGACACAGAAAGGGGACAGCCACTCTTCTCAGGGGACAAAAAAGAGGCCTTGCTCTTATAAAGGACTCTTCATAGAAATGTTATAAAGCACTAGGTTATGTGCTGAAAGGAAACTCCTTTCTTGCTTTTTATTTTCGTATTTTATATTTGATCTTGACTCACTAAACTGAATTCTTCCTCATGAGCAAATTATTGACCTAATATGGACCTCTCCCTTCTTGAAGCAACTTTAGAGTAAATGCAACATACATTCTGACCTGTTCAAGAACCAATTTAGATAGGTGTGAGTCCAAGATGACAATTGGATCATGTCAGATTAAGAACCACTAGCCTAAGACAACTATATATAGTGCATATGAAATGATCTGAATAATATATAATCATTATCCAGTGCATAATGCTGCCAAATGCTTCATAATCTTCTGAACCATTTCTTATTACTGGTCAACTGATGTTTGCAATTTCTTCAGTGCAGCATATTATGTGCATTTCAGTTCAATGATTGAAGCTATCTGTAAAATATGGTTATCAAGTAGCATATTATGAACATACGCAACAGATAAATTCTTTTGTATTCAGTATGATCAAGGTAACCGTTACGATTTTTGCTCTACAACAAATTTTATGTGCTGCATGTTTTTTGCAATCCTATTGAATAGACCATGTTAATGTACACATATCCAATGATGTTCTGGAATGATAAAATAATAAATAAACAATATCAATCATTGCTGTTGCCTATGGGTGTTTGATATTTATGTTAATGAATATTTGCACAAGGGAATGTTTTGACAAATTGTTCAGGTCTCAACTGATGGAAAAAAGACTACTTCAACATTGGATACATGACATTTCTTAGAAGTAAAGCTACTGGTTGGCTAGCAAAGGATTACCACTTTGATTTAAATCTCCTGATTTTTTTTATTTATTTATTTGCCGTGTCAGGAGTGACTTGAGAAACTGCAAGTCGCTTCTGGTGTGAGAGAATTGGCCGTCTGTAAGGATGTTGCCCAGGGGACGCCCGGATGTTTTGATGTTTTATTATCCTTGTGGGAGGCTTCTTTCATGTCCCCGCATGAGGAGCTGGAGCTGATAGAGGGAGCTCATCCGCGCTCTCCCCGGATTTGAACCTGTGACCTGTTGGACTTCAGTCCTGCCGGCACAGGGGTTTAACCCACTGCGCCACCGGGGGCTTCTGATAATGGAAAAGGACATCAAGACTAAGACTTTACATTGCTGTGAGCATAGCACAAGCAACCATCAACAGAGTTAAATCCCACTTGCATTATGCCATCCTCATGCTGGATAGCACAGTAGTGCACCTTATGTGAATCACTGCTAAACATGCACAACTGACATTTTGTTGCACAATTGCACTGAATGATGGGATGCACATTGGTTCTGTGTTGGGCCTCTGCACACTTTGCAGTTGGACCTCAGACCTCCTTCCTGAAAGATCAGAAACCCATTTTGAATCATCTTCACTCTGTCAGGAGCTGATTTCTGCTGTTCCTGGTGACATCATAAATCTTCTGAATGACATCTTGAGGGCAGCTTCAAAATTTATGAATAGACTTTTTCCCATGGGAAAGTTGCAAACTGAGGAGGGAGTGGGGCAGATATATCAGTGGAAAACCAAGATGTGTTGAATGAAATAGCCATAAACATCTTTCTATAGCTGTAGAGATCTGAGCAATAAAAGCCAATTCCAAATGAACCTTTTGTGAGTTAGATTCTGGTTAGATTCTGCAGGGACTGACACACTCTGCCCAACGTACAATGGAAAACATTCTAGGCATGGATCTATGCTTCCATCTTTCTCAGAGGGAGAAGTATGTTAGAAAAGACTGTTTATTGGACATGCACAATGAGGTCACTGCCAAGAGTATCAATCATTTTTTAAAAAAATTACACATGGGAAGTGTCCTTGGATCAAAAGCTTTATAGAATAATGTTACAAATGTTTATCTATCTACATTGCTGGAGGGCTGTTAATTGCTTTGAATGAAAAATATTTTTCTATATTTGTTTTTCAGTAGTTTACTGAAGATACTATTACCTTGTATAATAATAATAACAACAACAACAACCTTGGCCTGCACTTAAACACAATCGGCACTGACAAGATTACCATCTGCCATCTGGGATCTGCAAACATTATTTGCTGATTTATCACACAGTCCAAGACCCTTGGGAAGTGTCCAATGTGTGATCCAATACAACAGCCAGCAGAGTGTCTGCTGTGGACTCATCTTGTGGTGTTTCAAATAACAACAACAACAACAACTTTATTTTTATATCCTGCCAACATCTCCCCAAAAGGACTCGGGCGGCTTACAAGGCTATAAACCCATGTTACAAATTTAAAAAGCATTAAAATCAATCGAATAAAAACATAACACAATCACAAGGCATCATTTTAAAACAATAAGGCTGAGATAACAGTCGAAGCTGGGATCAGGCTCAAATAAGTGCAATGATTCCGAAATGGAGTCAGTGGAAAATGCGGAATTAAAATGAACAGAAGCTGAGGAATACCCTTTAAAAGTGTTGAGCAATCAATAGGTGGGCCAGAAATAAAGTGAATGGCTTAGAGTAGGAACGAGATAGTTCTCTGGTGAAACTGACTAATCAAAGGCACGGCGGAACATAATTTGGGAAAAATAGACCTTGACATTTGGGAGTTGTAGTTGCTGGGATTTATAGTTCACCTACAATCAAAGAGCATTCTGAACTCCACCAACAATGGAATTGAATCAAACTGGCACACAGAACTCCCATGACCAAGAGAAAATACTGGAAGGGTTTGGTGGGCATTGATCTTGAGTTTTGGGAGTTGTAGTTCACCTACATCCAAAGAGCACTGTGGACACAAACGATGATGGATTTGGACCAAACTTGGCACGAATTCTCAATATGCCCAAATGTGAACACTGGTGGAGTTTGGGGAAAATAGACCTTGCCATTTGGGAGTTGTAGTTGCTGGGATTTATAGTTCACCTACAATCAAAGAGCATTCTGAACCCTGCCAACGACTTAATTGGGCCAAACTTTCCACACAGAACCTCCATGACCAACAGAAAATACTGTGTTTTCTTGTAGTCTTTGGTGACCCCTCTGACACCCCCTTGCAACCCCTCTACGGGTCCCGAGGTTGAAAAACACTGTGCCATGCAATGGACTTACATTGCTCCCTCTTATGGTAGAGAGCTGATTTCAATAACAGTGTGACATTACTTAGTTTCCAAGATTCAATGGAATCTGATGCCTTCAGAGTATTGGGCACATATTTGTTCAAAGCTTACTGGCAACTTTCTGCTCTGGCATCACAAGGCATTAACCCGAAAGAATCTTTGCAAACCTTGCAAGTGATAAATGAGAAGCAACAATAATTCCTTAATAAGATTTGCTTTACTGGAAGCATGTTTGCTATCTGGCACATCACTCAGCAAAACCACTTTATGATCCCAATCAATACTTGGATGGCTTTCTTTGTAATGCCTAGGCTTGGTTCCATCAGCTAAAATGGTAGGCTACACTCATTTTTCAATTAGATCTACTTTGGAAAATTGCTATATCATCATCACTTGGCTTTAATCCTTTGGACAAAAAGGGGAGGCAAGAAGGGCAGGTCCAAGGGTGTGGACTCTTGAATAATTCCTCCTTCTTTGGGGAAATGTTTGGTTGCTTTCTCTGTAAAGGAACTGCTGCCATATCAGTGATAGCAATGTGGCTGCAGACAAGATTCTTCCCAGACAAGATAATTTGCATTGTGGTGCCCGGTAATATCTGGTGCCATGGAGACCCTTTTCACAATCAGCCTGCTTGCTGTGTTCATAGCTACAGGTTAGTACCTTATCATGGGATCAGAGTAATTTCTGAGTCCTGGCTTGCACATTTTCAGTTGTCCTTGGGGAATGAATTGCATCCACAGACAAACTTACCTTTTTTTGCTTTGGAGGTGGTTGTTATAGGTTTCCAAGGAAAGCTTGCTCCTTTCTGGAGGCTTTTAAACAGGGGCCATCTGTCAGGGGTGCTTTGATTGTGCTTTTCCGGCATGGCAGGATATGAGACGGCCCAAGTCATCTCTTCCAATTCTATTATTCTATCATTCTAGGTGTAAAAGGGACTTCAGCAGCTATGACAAACACATTGAGATGGGAAGCAGACTGAAGTAGTTTGCCTATAGATAGAGAGGGAGGGTGAGGCTAATCTTGGGGATTATTTTGAATGGCTTGGAAGGCTTGGTTGTTTGCTTTCTGTTTTAGAACATCATCTGACAAATCCAAGACAACAGTGCTGCTGCATTCCATATTTACAACCCAGCCTAAATGTTATCTGGAATTATGTATGGTTCTATTTCTCTCTGATTCTTTGCCATCATGGCAGCTTTGAGTACCACCAAAACTATCGAGGTATCTCCCTTCTAATCACCACTAGGAAAATCCTCGCAAGAATCCTTGCAAACTGCCTTCTACCCCTCACATAAGACACCCTCCCAGAATGGCTTCCGCCCCTCCAGAGGAACAGTGGACATGATCTTCACTGCATGACAGCTCCAAGAAAAATGCAGGGAACAAAATCACCCACTATACATGGCATTCATTGACCTTGCAAAGGCATTCGACACAGTGAATCGCAGCACTCTCTGGACCATCCTCCAGAAAATCGGGTACCCTGACAAATTTGTGAACATCCTGCGGCTCCTCCATGATGAGATGATGGCAACAGTCTTGGACAGCAGTGGCTCCCAAAGTGACCCATTTAAGGTGGAATCAGGTGTCAAACAAGGATGTGTTATTCCCCCAACTTTATTCTCCATCTTCATCACTATGATACTTCATCTTGTTGATGGAAAGTGGAAATCATCTATCGGACAGATGGCAAGCTATTTAACCTCAGCAGACTGAAAGACAAAACCAAGGTTACAACAACATCTGTTATAGAACTCCAGTATGCTGGTGACAACATCATCTGTGCGCATTCAGAAGAAGACCTACAAGCCACTCTAAACACCTTCGAAGAAGCATATGAGAAGCTCGGCCTGTCATTGAACATTGAGAAAAACAAAGTCCTCTTCCAGCAGTCACCAGCCAATCCCTCTCCAATGCCAGAGATACAGCTTAATGGTTGAACATTAGAAAATGTTGACCATTTCCGCTACCTTGGCAGTCACTTCTCTACCCAAGTCAACATCAACACCGAAATACAACACCGCCTGAGTTCTGCGAGTGCAGCATTTTTCTGAATGAAGCAGAGAGTGTTTGAGGACCAGGACATCCATAGGGATACCAAGGTGCTTGTCTATAAAGCTATTGTCCTCCCAACCCTGCTATATGCCTGTGAAACGTGGACTGTCTACAGACGTCACAAGCAACTTCTGGAATGACTCCATCAGCACTGCCTCCAGAAAATCCCGCAAATCTCTTGGGAAGACAAGCAGACAAATGTCAGCATGCTGGAAGAAGCATGGTCCTCCGCCATCAACTCTGCTGGACCGGCCATGTTGTCTGGATGCCTGACCACCGTCTCCCAAAACAGTTGCTCTACTCTGAACTCAAGAATGGAAAATGAAATGTTGGCAGGCAGGAAAAGAGATTTAAAGAGATTTAAAGCTCAAAGCCAACCTTAAAAACTCTGTCATAGACACTGAGAACTGGGAAGCTCTGGCCTGTGAGCGCTCCAGCTGGAGGTCAGTTGTGACCAGCAGTGCTGCAGAATTTGAAGAGGCACGAATGGAGGGCGAAAGAGAGAAACGTGCCAAGAGAAAGGCGCATCAAGCCAACCCCGCCTTCCACCTGGAAACCAATGCCCTCACTGAGGGAGAACATGTAGATCATGAATAGGGCTCCATAGTCACCTAAGGACCCACCCTGGAAGATTATCCTACTCAGACAATGAGGGATCACCTAAGTAAGTAAGTAAGTAAGTAAGTAAGTAAGTAAGTAAGAGTACCACCAACTTCTTGAGACCTTTGAGATCCTTAGGGAGCCAGCATTGTTTATGTCAATTTGCTTCAATAGATAATTCTTACGGAGTTCTCATCCCAGCTAGAGAGGGAGGGAAAGTAAACCTGTGTGTTGATGCTTTCATTCAAGTAACACACTGAACATTTGCAGTATGAATAAGTTTAGGATTTCTATTTTAATGCTGCGGCTCCTCCCTGGACATTGTATTTTTGGAATGGGCACCTGTGGGCCCATATTTTGATCTAGTTTTCATCAGCCCTTCCCAGCCTGGCTGGTAGTAAGGGATTCTGAAAGTTGCAGTCCAAAATATTAGGAAGGCCAAAGGTGCCCCATATTTACTACATACTATTCCTCCTACTCTTTTCTTATTTTCCACTCTTCCCCCTCAATGATAGTCTTTGGGTACTAAGCACGCTCCCATCTCTGTGGTTTGTTATTAGTCTAGTGCTTGTTTTGCACCAGGCTTAGTGATATTCCAGTTCCCTAAATCCAGGTAAGCATAAGTCAGTATAATGTGCACGTTTTTGCATTGTGAAAAATATGCATCTTAATTATTTCATTATTTTTTCTACCATTATGATGTTTAGGTATTTTTCATGTACCATTTAGGAGTGTGGGAAACAAAATTGCTATGCATGTTAGGCTATTCAGGTCCAGGAAAGAGATTTTTCAAACCAAGAAGAAAACGAAATGAGATAACAGCAACTTCCATGGACCTAAGACACCCAAGCTGTGGAGCAAAAAAGTGTCATTTTTTTCCTTTCAAGAATTAAAAGCCAAGCATAATCTTGAGGAAAAATAACAGGAAGAATCTATCTGCCTTACATTTCTGCTTCCTGTTTACAGGATTTTCTCTGCAATGTGAGATATGTGGCATCAGAAGCACATGTAATGGAGTTATGAGGACTTGTCACTTTAAGCATGACAAATGTAGCATCACTCTTTTGGAAAGCAGTGGCAACAAGTATGGTAAATGGCTGGCAATTTTATTCGCTTTAAAGGTAAAGGTTTCCCCAGACATTAAGTCTAGTGGTGTCCAACTCTGGGGGATAGTTCTCATCTCCATTTCTAAGCTGAAGAGCAGGCGTTGTCCGTAGACACCTCCAAGGTCATGTGACCAGCATGACTGCATGGAGTACCGTTACCTTTCCGCAGAAGCAGTAGCTATTGATCTACTCACATTTGCATGTTTTCGAACTGATAGGTTGGCAGAAGATGGGCCTAACAGTGGGAGCTCACCCTGCTCCCCGGATACGAATCACCAACCTTTTGGTCAGCAAGTTCAGCAGCTCAGCAGTTTAACCTGCTGCACTACCAGGGAGCCATTTTATTCACTTTGTATTTTGTAAATCGGTTTTCCAAAACATATACATATAAATAAATTTTGATTAATAACACTTTATTTGTAACTTGCCCTATTTCCCTGACGGGACTCAGAACAGTTTGTCAGGGTTTTATCTATAAGTGTGAGAAAAGAAATATAGTGTCCAATTAACTCAGTTAAGGAAAACCATAGCGTCACCATCAAATGAAGTGTTCCAATATGTTGTTTACACTTCCAATGTACATTTGAAACAGTTTTATTAATTATAGTCAATTTTCTAGAATTATATATAATTGGTACATCCTCTGCTAAAAAAAATTCTTAAGATTATAACGTATAGCAGATTTCAACACCTTTTGACGACATCTTTCTCAGTTGTTCCATCTGTAGGTCAAATAAAAAAAATTTGAGTCAATTTCTTGATACAAGTTTTATACCAAATTTTTCATACCAGATTTTACCAAGTGTATACGTTTTATTAAATGCATGTCCATCATCGGTATATAATTGTAACTCAAAACATCTTTTTCCAACCCTATAGCTAACAATGTCCAGAGAATGATCAAGAATTGCATCAACTCCAGTTTTTGTGATGTTGACCTCGGGATTATAAACATGGGCCAAGCAGGATTGATACAGTCCAACCGTATCTGCTGCATAGAAGATGACTGCAAGAGGATCTCTCCCACATGTAGGTTACTGCTGTATTCCTCTTTCCTTTGAACATCCTGTTTTGGAATTTAGGCAAATCTCACATGATTCTTCTAGTAGTTCAGTATGAGAATATGAATTGCTGATGAACTTTGCTGATCCAAATCCTGGATCTGAATTCGGACTGTGGTGTGAAAAGCTTTGGACTTCTGTTTTGTAATTTGGAGATTCATATGATTCATTAGTATCAATCTCCAAATTACTAATCAGAAAAGGATCCCTCCAAAACATTATGAATTGAAACAAAAGCCTCTGATACTTTTAGAGAGATTCACAAATATTTGTTGTTTGAAACCTTTCCCCCCTTATTTAACATATTCTGTTTGTAATTCTCTGGGGTGGGATGGGGCTGGGGCTGATGTGTCTGACAAGGGCAGTTGCAGGCTATTTTTTTCCTTGTCATCCAATCAGAAGAAGAAGGGCAGTTCTCCCCTCATTGTCTCTTTGTGGTATTTGCAGGAGAGAGAGAAGGACTTGTGTTGGAGCTCCATTCTCTTTCTGTGTGTTTTTCAAACTTAAACTTAAATCAGAACTGGCCTCCCCCGAATCTTGATGAATTGGAAGTGGGGGCTATCTGAATCTCCAAAACAAATTACTAAGCAGGTTTCAGCCATTTTGCACACCTCTAATTCTAACCTTCCCCTGTGTTTTTTTCTTAATTTGGGGTACAACCACAATAAGCCTCTTACCCTGGGTTAAATTACAGTATTTATTTATTTATTTGTGATATTTATATGCTGCCCTTCCCCCCCCCCCCCCCCCCCCCCCCGAAGGGAACTCAAAGCGGCTTACAAGACACACACACACACATACACAAAATATATATTAAATTATTAGCATAGTACAATATCAGTATTATATATTACTATATTGTACTATATCATTATATTGTAATATTATTAGTAATATTAAATGTAATATAAATATATAATTATAATTATGATATTGTTTTATTAGTAGTAGTATTAGTATTATATTGTATTACATTACAATATTATAAATATTATATTATATTATATTATATTATATTATATTATATTATAAATATTATATGTATATACAATATATTATATTACATTATATTATTATAATATATGTGTGTGCATGTGCTTTGTGTGTCTCTTCACTCTGGCCCAAAACAGCATTTGGTGCCGGGGGAGGGGTCCCCAACTGATGACATATGCAGGAGACAAGATGGAACTGTCCCCTGGCCCCCTCTCCCTTCACTCTGGCCCAGAGTGGCAGCTGGTGCTGAGGGGAGGGGTCCCCAACAGATGACATATGCAGGAGACAAGATGGAACTGTCCCTTGGCCCCCTCTCTCTTCACTCTGGCCCAGAGTGGCAGCTGATGCTGGGGGGAGGGGTCCCCAACTGATGACATATACAGGAGACAAGATGGAACTGTCTTCTGCCCCCCCCCCCCTTCACTCTGGACCAGAGCAGCAGTTGGTGCTGGGGGAGGGGTCCCCAACTGATGACATATGCAGGAGACAAGATGGAACTGTCCCCTGCCCCCCCTTCACTCTGGCCCAGAGCCGCAGTTGGTGCTGGGTGGAGGGGTCCCCAACTGATGACATATGCAGGAGACAAGATTGAACGGTCCCCTGGACCCTCCTCTCTTCATTCTGGCCAAGAGCAGCAGTTGATGCTGGGGGGAGGGGTCCCCAACTGATAATATATGCAGGAGACAAGATGGAACTGTCCCCTACCCCCCCTCTACACTCTGACTCAGAGTGGCAGTTGATGCTGGGGGGAGGGGACCCCAACTGATGAGTATAAGGCCAGGAGACAAGATGCGAACTCAGTATTCTTCCCCCCTCTAACTTCTTCACTCTCGCGCCAGTCAGAGCAGTTGTGCCGGGGGGGGGCGGGGGGCGGCAGCTCTGTGCCCAGAACTAGACATTATATAGTGCAGAGAGAACAAGATGCGAATGCGCATACTGTTTCTGCCCCCCTCTCTCTTCACTCTGGCCAGAGCAGCTAGCAGTTCGTGCCAGGTTGGGGGGGGGGGGGCTCCCAACTGATGATGTAGGCAGGAGACAAGATGGAACTGTCTTCTGCCCCCACCCCCTCATTCTGAATGCATTCTTTGTACTCTCACAGACAAATGCAACTCTACATTGCATTATTTGGCAGTGTAGAAGTACCCTAAGTCAGAGGATTCCAAACATTATTTTCTGTATAAAGGCATACTGTTCATGTGGATGCTGGATCACTCGACTGCCCACCATTGTGCAATGAATGCTCCCATGTTGTAAGATTGTTGCAGCTTCTATGTGAATATGGACATTGTGAAATTTATTTTATTTATTGTGTCAGGGGCATTGTGAAATGACTTAGTTCAAAAACAGAAGTCCCAAGCAGGATGTCAGTCTATGTCTTCATAAGATGAGATTGGAACAAGCAATAACAAAGTGGGGGCTTCCTAATGAAAGTGAAGCAAACTCTAAACTTCAAGAAGTATCAGAAATGGTGGATGGCTCCAAGCCTGGTTCAGAAGGTTTTCTGGACGAAATGTATCTGTGCTTACTTGCTAAGAGGTTGGCAGAAATGGATGATGCTGAACTGTGTTTGTTGATAAAAGGCTTTCCGACCTTTCAGACTCTTCACTTTTTCCTCACAGTGTCAGGGAGAAACACCACATCCAATGGAAAGGTATGCCCAGCTTGCTTTGCTATGGAGAAACGCTGCAAAGAAGACAATGTCTATTGTGCTGGAGATGAGTTCTATTGCATTGAAGGAACTGGAACTGGGACTGCACAAACTGGTAACTAAATTCTTCTGTACTCCTGATGTCCCTGTCCAAGTTTACAACTTCATCAATACACTTGCATGATTATCCAGATTGCACCTGTGATCTGCCTCTGACCGTAATCCGCTCCTGTTGTTATTTCCACACCAAGTACAAACTAGTGTTTCTAACATGAAAAAATTGCATTTGTGAGTGAAAAGAAAAAAACGGAAGCAGAAAACATAAAATGGCCCACATGAAACTAAGAGAGTTGGGGTGGGGAGGGGTAAAAAAGTGGTGTGGTGATAAAAGTGGAGCTATGTGGCCTTATAGCAGTGTTTTTCAAACTTCCTAATGCTGCAACCCCTTAATACAGTTCCTCATGTTGTGGTGACCCCCAACCATAACATTATTTTTGTTGCTATTTCATAGCTGAAACTTTGCTACTCTTATGAATCGTAATATAAATATCTGATATTGAGGATGTATTTTCATTCACTGGACCAAATTTGGCATAAATACCCGATAAGCCCAAATTTGTATACTGGTGTGGTTGGGATGGGGGGCTTTCATTTTGTCATTTGGTAGTTGTAGTTGCTGGAATTTATAGTTCTGCTACAATCAAAGAGCATTCTGAACTCCATCAATGATGGAATTGAACCAAACTTGGCACACAGAACTCCCATAACCAACAGAAAATACTGGAAGGGTTTGGTGGGCATTGACCTTGAGTTTTGGAGTTGTGGTTCACCTACATCCAGAGAGCACAGTGGACTCAAATAATGATAGATCTGGACCAAACTTGGCACAAATACTCAATATTCCCAAATGTGAACACTGGTGGAGTTTGGGGAAAATAGATTTTGACATTTGGGAGTTGTAATTGCAGGGATTTATAGTTCACCTACAATCAAAGAGCATTCTGAACTTCACCAATGATAGAATTGGGCCAAACTTTCCACAGGGAACCCCATACATTGAAGAGACTCACTGATGGGAGCCTTCCTCCAACCTCACACGCTCTACCTTGCCCACACGTGCAAATCATGCTGCCATGCGCCAAGCACACCTGCTCTCCCTTCCCCACTTGGAGTCTCCGAAACAGCCCTCCCCTTGGCTGAGAGGCTGGCCAATCACAGGGGAGGAGGTCTTTTGGTGGGAGGATTCGCAGCCTGTTTCCAAAAAGGAAGAGAAAGTCAGGTGTAGAGATCTTCCACCTTTTCTGCCAAAGGGCTTCCCAAGACCATCAGAAATATGTTTTGTGGTCTTTGGTGACCCCTCTGAAATTCCCTCATGTGTCCCCCCTCAGGGTCCCAACCTCAGATTGCTGCCTTATAGGTTCTTCAGGGATCCTAAATAAGGACCTTTTGTCTTCCATAGCAACATCTCCTGCTTAATCTCCTCCTTGTTCATCTTTGATATTAGCCATCTCTATCTTCAACCCTACATTCAATGTCAGGATGCAATTGAACCCATTTAGGGAATCAGGTTCATGATTAGGATTAAATCACTAACTCTCTGAGAGAAATGAAGATAGGTGGGTTAGTATTTATTTATTTATTTATTTATTTCAAACATTTTTACCCTGCCCTTCTCAACCCCTGGGAGGACTGAGGGTGGCTTACAATTGGCAATAATTCAATGCCGCATCATAAAATACAGAATAACAAATATAACAATTAAACATGAACATTAATAAATAAAGATTAAAACAGTATACTTACACTCTGATTAGCTATTGCCAGTCTGATGGCTGTTTAGCTAGCCATCTACTAATGATTACTCCGCTTAACTTATCTAAATCCTCTTCCATGCCATACTCAAACATTATCAATTGTCCTTTAACCTGATTGCCTGAAGGCCTGGTCCCACAGCCATGTTTTAACCTTTTTTCTAAAGGTGAGGAGGGATGACAATGACCTAATTTCCTCGGGGAGCAAATTCCACAGTGGGGGGCCACCACTGAGAAGGCCCTATCCCTCATCCCCGCCAAGCGTGTGGACATGTGAAAAAAATAAAAAAATGGAAAGGGATACATGAAATAATAATAAAGATACTGGACTTGGAAATAGAAATGAAAGCCAAATACTATCTACCAAATACTAAGTTATTTTTCCACATGACGACAGCAGCGAGAATTATACTGGCAAGGAAATGGAATAATAAAGAACTACCAATAACAGAGGAATGGATAATTAAGATTTTAGACATAATTAACATGGATTCTCTAACATGGTACTTAGAAAACAAACAGACATCAGGCATGGCCAGGATAGATTGGTCTCCAATCAAAAAATACTTCAAGATCAACTAGATTCAGACATACGAGAACTAAGGATCAGGAAATAATAATGCTAACAATGTTTTTTTTGGCGCAAAATTATCAAGTAAGATCAATAACTCTTCCCAGACCCATTCCCTAACCCTCACATTCCCCCCACTCTCCACTTTTCCTCGCACTCCCTCCCCACCCTCCCTGAACTCTTCCCCTTCCCCAACCCCCTCCCCAATCCCTTATACTCGGTTTTATGTATAATTAAACCCAAGTTTAAGTTTCTTGTGACTTGAATCTTGAAATACCCTGAATAAAAATTACAAAAAAAGAGAGAGAGAGAAAGGCGGGGCCGAGAGCAGGGCCTCCCCACACGATCTTAAGCTCCGAGGTGGGATGTAGAAGGAGATACGTTCAGACAGGTACGCTGGACCGGAGCCATATAGTAGACAAGGGGATGATATTGATGAAGATTTTGTCATAATTTTTGTGCAGGAGAAGGAACCTCAGCCCCAAATTTCATACTTAAAGGCTGTGCCACTGAAGGTGCATGTGAAGATCTTCGGGGAGCATCCCTCCTTCTGCCCTGGAGCGTAAAAGAATCACAGTACCACTGTGTGACTGCCCTTGAGGCAAGTGGCATCCTTGAACCACAGTATGAGGCAGCTGAGAAAACATCAAAGAATGCAGAAAATGCTGGAGTAGCTACCATCATTACAGAACTTTTCGGAATTGTCATCCCAATCCTGGCTATGCAACTTCTGTAATTTCATCCTTGATGTTGCAGTATCCTCAAAGCCTGCTTCAGGTATTCTGGGCTAAAGAAGAATGAGCATGCTAGTCACAACCTCCCAAAGTAATTTCTCTTGCTTTCCTTGCATGCAGAGAATCTGCTCCATACACAGAAGCATTTAACATGATGCAGAAACATGATTTTGTCCTAGTATTCAAGACAGAGGATATCAATAGTTTTTTAGACTGGCAGGTGCCTTTTTCCAAAGGTGTAATAGCAGTCACGTTTAAAGCTAAAAGTATTTGGCATCAAACTGCATAGACTGTAGATCCAAAATGGAATTACAAATGATATTATAAGTTTCCTTGTTGGTTTTGCTGTGCCATACCAACATGACTACTTCTTTCCCTTCACCCGATGAATACAGCTGCAATCCTCAAAAAAATATCCCATGTAAAATGTTTTAGCCTTTAACTTACTATGGAGTTATTTGTACTTTCACTTAGAACAGTGTTTCGCAACCATCCTAATGTCACGACCCCTTAATACAGTTCCTCATGTTGGGGTGACCCCCAACCATAAAATTATTTTCATTGCTACTTCATAACTGAAATTTTGCTACTGTTATGAATCATAATGTCAATACTGATATGCAGGATGTATTTTCATTCACTGGACACCAAATTTGGCACAAATACCCGATATGTCCAAATTTGAATACTGGTGGGGTTTGGGGGTGTGTGATTTTGTTATTTGAGAGTTGTAGTTGCTGGGATTTATAGTTCACCTACAGTCAAAGAGCATTCTGAACTCCAACAACAATGGAATTGAACCAAACTTGACACAGAACTACCAACAGGAAATACAGGGAGGTTTTGGTGGGCACTGACCTTGAGTTTTGGAGTTTTAGTTCACTTACATCTAAAGAGCACTGTGGACACAAACAATGATGGATCTGGACCAGGCTTGGCATGAATAATCAATATGCCCAAATATGAACACTGGTGGGGTTTGGGGAAAACAGACCTTGACATTTGGAAGTTGTAGCTGCTGAGATTTATAGTTCACCTACAATCAAAGAGCCCCTTGAACCCCACCAATGATAGATTTTGGCCAAACTTCCCACACAGAACTCCCATGACTAACAGAAAATACTGGGGGATTTGTGAGGAATTGACAGTGATTTAGGGAAGATGTAGTTCACTCACCTCTGCAGAGCCCTTATTTATTTATTTATTTATTTATTTATTTATTTATTTATTTACTATATTTATATACCCCCCCTCCCAGCCTGCAGGTGACTCAGGGAGGTTTACAGTCAACATTAGAGACTTAAAATACAATTAAAACAGTTAACTTAAATATAAAACCAGGTAAAACAATATCAGTAAAAACTTGTATCACTTTGAGTCTCCTAGTTAAAAGCATTCATTATCCAATAGCGTCGTCCAGTTGTTCCATTTCTTTTTCTCTATGTCTGTCATATTTCATCTGTAAATGCCTGCTCAAAAAGCCAAGTCTTGGCTTTCTTTCGGAATGTTAAGAGGGAAGGAACCAATCTAATATCCCTAGGGAGGGCGTCCATAGTCAAGGGGTCACCACTGAGAAGGCCCTGTTTCTCATCCCCGCCATATGTATTGTGACGAAGGCGGGATCGAGAGCAGGGCCTTCCCAGACGATCTTAAAGTCCTGGAGGGTTCATAAGGGAAGATACGTTCAGACAGGTAAGTTGGGCCAGAACCATTTATTTATTTATTTGACTAGTCATATGACCATTTCAAAATACAACACGAATAAAATACAAAGCAAAAAGGAGAGGACAGCAGCTGACCTTCTATTTACAATCAGAGTCTTATTGTCTTGGTTCTTCTTTCAGGAAATGTGCTCTTTCTTGATAGCTTTCAGAATAAAAAGGCTTACTCTGATTATGGTGGATCTTTTTTGTCCTTGCAAGTGGAATGCCAGAAGATCATTCCTGTTGGGGGACATGCATTTGGATAATATTGGATGTAAATATCTGTATCGCAGTTCAGCATATGTTGGGCAGTCAATTAAGAAATGTTCAATATCTTCCACTGTTTGTTCTCCCCATACACAGAATCTCTCACTTCTTGGGATGTTACAGTACTTATATTATGCTTTGTCTTAGGCACTTTGTGTCATATGTAAGCTGCCCCGAGTCCCTTCAGAGAGATGGAGGCAGGGTACAAGAATAAAGTTATTATAATATTATTATGTGTTTTCTGATGGTCTTTGGCAACCCTTCTGACACCCCCCTCATGACCCTCATAAGGATCCCGACCCCCAGGTTGAGAAACATGCTACTTTTTAGAAGTTCTGTGAAAAATTATAATAGGAAATAAACTATCCAATATTTTTTCTCTGTATAATGCAAATTATAGTGAGGAAGAGATAGGATGAGATTCATTTTAAGGTTTTGATGGAGAAGTGCAACAGACCTTTATTATAGTGGTTACATTTCAGATGCTAATATGACATTATTAGGCACTGTATGGCACCTCTCTGATATAGGCTTTAAAATGATCCCTTCATTGATGAAATCTATTATGGAGACAGCTTGCCACCTTCTGACAAGGAAGTGTAATACACAGATGATGTAATCATACAGAGAAATACACAAAGTATATAGATATTGTTAAGTGGAGAACAGATATAGAGAAACAGTTGCTCATTTCTTGGTCCCAGCAAAATGAAACCTGAAATTAGCAGAACAATATTGACATGGGCTTTCGTCTCCATCTCCATTCTTAACATTGTAATTGAATGCACACTAAAGCCATTGTCACACATTACTGACTCAAAAAGATAACATGTATATAAATGGGGATTTATACAATCTGATGCAACTCTTCCCAAATAAAAAATTCTCAAGAATGCAAAAGCTTACTCCTTGAATTTTTCTGACATTTTGGTTGGTCTTCATAAAGAAACTAGTTGTAATTGTGTTACTCATGCACACACAAAACTCTATATGAAAATATGACTTCTTAAATAGCCATCCCATTTCAAAACCAGAGTAATTTCTCTTTGGATGATGAAAGTAATGAAATGGTTACCTTTTTGGCTCAGTCCAGAATGGAAAGACGAGCTGTTCTCCAGCTACATCCCTTTTCCTTACTCCCTCGACCTTCTTTATGATCAAAATGCCACCTTAAAAGCCGAGTGCCAGAAGAAGGAGACAAAGAAACAGATCAAAAACTTAGGTTTTGAAAAAAGTGCTCGCTCTCAGAGAAAAGAAGCAAAAGCATAGGCATCTTTCAAGTAGCATCTCTCCCCAAGACCTTCTTTCTATTCTTGATCTTCCAATTCAGCTTCCATGAGTAAAATCTACAGCTTGCACAGTAAGGGCTTTTCTGGCGTTCTTATCCAATGACTGTTTCTCTGTCTCAATATAGTAAAGGATTTCAGGCAAGAGAAAGAGGGGAAAGGAGGAGGGTCTATCTGTGAGAAAGAGGGGAGGGGAAAGAATGGAAACAATCATTGGACAAGTATTTCAGCAGAGTATGGGAATCCATTCCCCCTCCTCCTTTCCCTCTCCACCTCCTCTCCCACCCTATGGTGTCTCACATTTCTGCAGCTTATATGGAGAAGAATAGACTCTCTTTTCAAATCAGCAACAAATAAATAGTTAAAGCACAGATTCCCAAATGAACAGTAAGATCCATGAATACCAGCATAGTTCAGGTTTACTGTTGATGAATCTTTGAGTTCCACAGAAGGCTTCTTAAGGATGGACAGTGCAATATTTCTTAAGGATGGACAGTGCAACATGAGGGGGAAGAAGAAAAGTCTAAAAGCCTGGTTGCATGGAATAGCCATTCTACCTCATCGCAAAGGGTTAAAATCAGTGGCATATGCCAGTTTGGCTCAGGTCACCCACCTTCCAAGAAGCAACACTGGCGGGGCTCTGTGGGTGAAGTAGGGTGGAACTGGTACATGCCGCCACCAAGGCAACACAGGAGGCTTCTCATGTTGCCAACACAGGAGGCTTCTCATGATGCTTCTCTCCATGGGATCGCCCTTTACTGGAGCCGGGTGATGCGAGGCATGGGACAACAGGTTCCCCACACCCATCAAAGATGCATAACGACTCTGGCAGCCATGTGACAAAATCGATTGTTTCTGTAAATGGGCCGACATTACATGATGGAGGTTGCAGTGATGGAGGTTGGTGGGGCACATAACTGCTCTGACAAGTCCCCATGTTATTTATTTATTTATTTATTTATTTATTTACAATATTTCTGTCCCACCTTTCTCGAACCTGAAGGTGACTCAAGACAGCTTACAACTCGGCAGCCATTCAATACTATAACAATATACAATTAAAACATTTAAAACAAATTTGTAACATCCATACAATAAAACCATTAAAAACATATAAAACCAATGCCTTCATTGTTAATCTTGTTGTCCAAAAACTTTGTCTGAGCCGTTCCACAATTAAGTATCACATAGTTCCGTGTTTGTCTATTGCACTGCGTTTCCAAAGGCTTTTTCGAAAAGCCAGATTTTTACTTTTTTCTGGAAAGTCAGGAGGGAGGGGGCTGGCTAGTCTAATATCCCTAGGGAGGATATTAGACCAGCTGAGGGACCATCACTGAGGGGCCACCACTGAGAAGGCCCTGTCTCTTGTCCTTGCCAGATGCACCTGCGAAGAAGGTGGGACTGAGAACAGGGCCTCCCCCCAATCTTAAGCTCCTAGATGGTTCATAGGGAGAAATAAGTTCAGACAGATAAACTGAGCCAGAACTGTTTAGGGCTTTATAGGCTAAAGCCAGTACTTTGAATTGTGCCCGGTAGCTGGCAGGCAGTGAAGAAATATTCTTTCTTCTTGTTTGCTGTGCATAAAACATAGTTTTCTATGCAAGTAATTCAGATATTAATTTTGTATAAAATAGGAAAAGCAAACAGCTGGAAATACTATTTCTATGTAGAAACATCATATCCTGCATAACACTGTTGCTTCCATGTGAACATTTTGTGCAAAATCTTTCCTCAACTGAGCATATTCTTATCAATCTGGGAACCACTGCTCTAGAGTATATTGTGAATGAAAGGGAGGAATTCAATGGTATTTGGTCTAATCCAGTGGTTCTCAACATGTGGGTCCCCAGATGTTTTGGCTTTCAACTCTCAGAAATCCTGAGAGCTGGTAAACTGGCTGGGATTTCTCGAAGTTATAGGCCAAAACACCTGGGGACACATAGGTTGAGAACCCCTGGTCTAATCTGTGGTTTCAAGTGACTATGGTCCAGCTGGGAATTGATCACTGTGGTTACAGGGATCTTAATGTATTAGACCTTACTTCTACATATGCAAAAACATTTCTAGGTTTTATTGCTAACTAGAATTTTCAGCATATCTGAAGTAATTCAAATTTATGTTCACTGTCCATATTGAGTGGGGGACTGGGAAAACTATAACCACTGAAGAAAAATTTGAGGCTCTGAACATAAGAGAGAATTGGAGATTTTTTTTAAAAAAATAGGTTCCACCCCTTCTGAGGAACGGTTTGTTTTATGTTGTCAAACTTCCACACTGCCTCAAACAGAAGCAGACTTTGCTGGACAGTGTGGCTTCAGTACAGCTCAGCTCCCAGAACTAGATGCCACCTCAAAACATGGAGAACCTGATGATGATCAGTATTCTCGCCACCTTCATAGCTGCAGGTCAGTAAAGGAAGCTAAATGGCATTGCTGATGGAACAGCTCTATGCTTTCTGTTGTCCTAGGACAGATATTCATAACCTACCACAGACATTTCATAATCAGTCTTACTACTTCATCACACTAAAAAATGAATTCACTTTAAATCCGGTTTCTGCCTCCTTCAGAATTTTGGGGTTTGTAGTTTAAGGAGGCTGTTAAAGACTCCTCCCTAAACTACAAATCCTAGAATTCTGCAGGAGGCAGCAACTGTATTTAAAGTAGGTTCATTCTCTAGTGCAGGGTTCTCAACCTGGGGTCGGGACCCCTAGAGGGTCGTGAGTGGGTGTCAGAGGGGTTGCCAAAGTTCAACAGGGGAAAAAAAGCGACAGGATTTTCTTGTTAGTGTGCGAGGTGGGGAAGATGGGTTCTGTGTTTTGAACAGATCACAGTTTTACATACAGTTGTGCTGCAAACAGGGTTAACTGCAGAATTCTAGGAGAATTGTGTTAGTTGGGTAGGTAGGTCTTTAACAGCCTCCTAAACTACAAAAAACCCGGCGAGAATCTTAAGGAGGAAGTTTGGACAACCCAATTCATATTGGGTTGCCTGGAGTCCAGGGATACTATTTTGAACTCTGAGGTTAACTATACATCCAAGACAAGCAGCAGAATCCCAAGTGTGCCAGGTCTATTTTCTCCAAACTCCATCTGTGTTCATATTTGGGCATAATGGAATATTCATGCCAAGTTTGGTCCAAGTTTGAGTCCACAGTGCTCTCTGGATGAGGTGAACTACAACTCCCAAACTCAAGGTCACACCCAAACCCTTCCAGTATTTCTGTTGGTCAGTCTGTGTGCCAAGTTTGGTTCAATTCCATTGTTGATTGAGTTCAGAATGATCTTTGATTGTAGGTGAACTATAAATCCCAGCAACTACAACTCCCAAATGACAAAATCAAACTCCTCCAACCCCATCAGTATTCAAAATTGGGCATATCGGGTATTTGTGTCAAATTTGGTCCAGTGAATGAAAATATATCCAGCATATCAGATATTTGCATTACGATTAATAAGAGTAGCAAAATTACTCTTTTCATTTGCAGAAGTAGCAATGAAAATAATTTTATGATTGGGGATCACCACAACATGAGGACCTGTACTAAGGGGTCGCGGCATTAGGAAGGTTGAGAAACACTGCTCTAGTATGATGAGGTCCTATGGAAAGATAACAAATAAATAGAATATTTTATATCGTATTTGTATGCCTCCTATGTATAGTGGCCCTGTTTTAGGATTGCCAAGTTTTGTTTAGGGAAAGTTTTTCCTTTCCTCTGAGAAAGCATGACTTGCCCATGGGTTTCCAGAACATGACAGTAAAGCTGGAAAGAATAGACTGCCCCAAGGGTGAGAAATGTCAAAGCTTCCAGTTGTTCTTAGGGTGCTTCCAGATAGTGCCAAGACTCATGTTTTAAATTGAAGACAAAAACTCCTCGGACCTGAGAACAGTCCTGGGATTGGGTCCCCTGCCATCCTTACTGGCTTCCTCTGTATCGGAACAAGATGGGGGGCAGATGGGGGACATCTGTCAGAAGAGGTTTTTTTAATCACTCCATTATGCGCTGGACTGTATATGTGCACATATGAGTATCTTAATATAAATATAAGCAGATTCATATGTTCCACCAGATCTCCCTATTTCCCCAATTATTAATTCAAGCTCTGTCTAATATTATAAAGATTAAGATAAAGAGTTTCAGAGAGTTCTAATTGCTCTCTGTTTGTGCTTTCTTTAAACCAGCTGTGCGTCTGTTTCACAGCCCAATCAACTGATCAGCTGTTTCAGGCTTTTAAAAGTATGCTGCAGCTATTTCTACAGGGAGGAGGGAAGGAAATAATGTATTTTTCACGAGTGCAGGAATATACAGTGATGCAAATATGCACATTTTCCAGTCGGAATTGTGATCTAAGTGGATTTTAGAAAAACATGTTTTTGTCTGTGGCAGTGAATCAGCGCAAATTTACTGCTAGTGTCATGTAGCCACCCCCATTCTTTAACTCGCAACTTCTGCATTTTAGGTGCTGTGTAGAGGGGCCCTTAGATTGCAGCTGCCATCTTTTCTTATTTAGCATAGCCCATTGAGAGGGACGGAGCACCCAGTGGCGCAGTGGGTTAAACCCCTGTGCCGGCAGGACTGAAAACTGACAGGTCACAGATTCGAATCCGGGGAGAGGCAGATGAGCTCCCTCTGTCAGCTCCAGCTCCTCATGCAGGGACATGATCAAGGGTCTGGAGAACAAGCCCTATGAGGAGCGGCTTAAGGAGCTGGGCATGTTTAGCCTGAAGAAAAGAAGGCTGAGAGGAGATATGATAGCCATGTATAAATATGTGAGAGGAAGCCACAGGGAGGAGGGAGCAAGCTTGTTTTCTGCTTCCCTGGAGACTAGGACGCGAAACAATGGCTTCAAACTACAATAAAGGAGATTCCATCTGAACATGAGGAAGAACTTCCTGACTGTGAGAGCCGTTCAGCAGTGGAACTCTCTGCCCTGGAGTGTGGTGGAGGCTCCTTCTTTGGAAGCTTTTAAACAGAGGCTGGATGGCCATCTGTCAGGGGTGATTTGAATGCAATATTCCTGCTTCTTGGCAGGGGGTTGGACTGGATGGCCCATGAGGTCTCTTCCAACTCTTTGATTCTATGATTCTATTACATGAGAGAAGCCTCCCACAAGGATGATAAAAACATCAAATCATCAGGGCGTCCCCTGGGCAACGTCCTTGCATATGGCCAATTCTCTCACACCAGAAGTGACTTGCAGTTTCTCAGGTTGCTCCTGACATGTCAAAAAAAATTGAGAGGGACAATGGGAGTAGCAATCGAGTATCATCTGGAGGACCATAAGTTGCATGCTTGAGAGTTAGATAAGCTTTTTAAAGAAACACAGGCTAAGTCATCTTTTTACATTAATAGTTCCTATTGTAACAAGACTAGGCCACAGCTATTTCTTGCAAGAATCATTGCTCTTGCTACTGTTGCTGCTTTTATGTGCCTTCCAACTTATGGCTTCCCCTAAGGCAAATCTGCCATGTGGTTCTCTTGGCAAGATTTCTTCAAAGAGGATTTATCATGGCCTTCCTCAGAAGCAGAGAGAGCATAAATCGCCAAAGGTCACCTGGTGGGTTTCCAATTTTCCATGTCCAGTAGGGTTTTGATCTCCAGTATCTCAGAGTCCTTGTCCATCATTCAGAGCTTTATGCTACACTGGCTCCTTTTGCAACCTTTACCAACCAATATATGATCCAATTGTCCTTTGAACGTTACACAACTTTCCACAAAGCCGTGACCTTGTGTCAACAGCATATTGCCAAATCTAAGCAGTAAGTAGGGAGGGAAGAAAACAGAAGATAAATTAATAAGCTACAGTCAGTGGAATCTGAGGATCACTCAGAAAAATGAGTGATTAATGCTCAGACAGTTTCCATCATTTGGAACAAATTTGGGGTGCTCCCAACATGCTTTCTGTAAAATGGAATTAGGCGCCTTTGCCCACAATCAATGATGGTTTTTAAAAGTATTTTTTTTAAAATTTATTTAAGTAGACATACATTTGCAAGTGTTTGTTGTATACAGTGCAATACTTTTTATCTATTAATGTTCCATAATCATTTCTCTGATAATATATTTCCTTTAAGGGGTCACAGTCTAAATAATACATATAAAAATACAATAGACTCTTACTTTACATCTGCTTCCTCCTTGTCTACAATCTTATAAGATCCTCTATATACATTTTTAGTTTAATTTTACATTAATATGTTGAATCATTGGTTGCCATTCATTAACAAAGTTATGTAATAGTTCTCCTCTTAATAATACAGTTATTTTGTCCTTTCAGCATATCTGTAATACATTTTCCTATTGGTTGTTGTAGGTTTTTTCGGGATATATGGCCATGTTCTAGAGGCATTCTCTCCTGACGTTTCGCCTGCATCTATGGCAAGCATCCTCAGAGGTAGCTCTGAGGATGCTTGCCATAGATGCAGGAAAACGTCAGGAGAGAATGCCTCTAGAACATGGCCATATAGCCCGAAAAAACCTACAACAACCCAGTGATTCTGGCCATGAAAGCCTTCGACAATACATTTTTCCCATTCTTCTAAAGGAGGTGTCTGGGGTTTTCCAATATCAAGCATATATTTCCAATATCAAGCCGATCCAATTCCGAGCACAATTCAAAGTGCTGGTTTTGACCTACAAAACCCTATACGGTTCCGGCCCAGTGTATTTGTCTGAACGGATCTCCCTCTACGTCCCACCTCGAAGCTTAAGATCTTCTGGGGAGGCCCTGCTCTCGACCCCGCCACTGTCACAAGTGAGGCTGGCTGGGGACGAGGAGCAGGGCCTTCTCAGTGGTGGCCCCCCACCTGTGGAACTCACTCCCCGGGGAAATTAGATCGGCGACCTCCCTTCTGGCATTCAGGAAAAAACTGAAGACCTGGATCTGGGATCAAGCCTTTGGTCATTCTGACAGCTAACTGAAGGATCTGATGATAGACAAGGACAAATGGAATGGAATGGATATATGGACTCTGAACCCTGAGCATGAGACTGTTTTATTATTTTATTATGTACTGATGTTTTTAATTAATTGTTGAATTGTTTGTATTTGTATTGCTTGTGAATTGTTTTGGGCATCTAATTGTGCCCCCACTGTAAGCCGCCCTGAGTCCCCCTCGGGGTGAGAAGGGCGGGGTATAAGTAAATGAAATAAATAAATAAATAAATAAATATACTATTCGAGCTGCCACTGTTGTGTAAAACAAAATTTTTCCAATTTTTCTTTCTAATTCTTTATCGTTTTTATTGAGAACTTTCCAAATACATTGAGTGTTTTAAATATTTTGAGAAACTATAAAAAATGAAATGAATGAAAGAGGAAAGAAAAACAGAAAGAATACAAGTAAAATATGAGAAAAATGCATAGAAATAAAAATGTGGCTTACAACCTTCTTTTCAGTGCTTATAAATACACATAGTAAAATCATATTGTAAAGCAATAGTAAAATCATGTTGTAAAACGTTCGGTGATCTTAGACTGAACACTAACATTTAGGAAACACCATGCGAACACTAAGCACAAGGTAGCTGCATGCAAAAACATCCTGTGGAAATTTACTATTAGTGCATGGGGTGCAGACCCAAAATTAATAAGAGCATTAGCCCTGGCCTTGTCTTACTCAACTGCTGAGTATGCATGCCCTGTCTGGCATAAATCCGCCCACTCAAAGCAGGTAAATATAGTACTAAATGAGACATGTAGAACAATGACATGATGTCTTAAACCTACATCTGATGATAGACTCTATAAGCTAGCTGTTATTGCCCCCCCCCCCCCACCACCAATGTGCAATGGGAAGTTGCTACCAATTGTGAGAGAGAAAAGGTTGAACACTATGAAAGCCACTCACTGCATGGCTATCAGCCTCCTCCCAGCAGATTCAAATCAAGGAAACGCTTCATGAAAACCACCACTCTTTTTAACGTTCCCCCGGCAACAACAAGAACATCCCTCTGGGCAGCTAAACCAGGAAATCCCAATTGGGTGGTCCTCCACGAGGGTCTTCCTCCAGGGGCAAACCACAAATGGGCAACTTGGAAGTCCCTGAACAGACTCAGAAGCGAAGTGGGCAGATCAAAAGATAACCTGGCAAAATGGCACTACCTAAAAGAATCCTCCACCTTGTGCAACTGTGGAGCAGAATAAACAACTCCGCATCTGTATGCCTGCCCACAATACCCTGCCTCATGCGCAGAGGAAGAATTGTTTAAAGCTACAGACAATGTAGTCGCTGTTGCCCGTTTTTGGTCTAAAACTATCTCGCAGCTTGTGATTCCTTTATGTTATCAGTTTTAAATAAACTATTTTGTCAGTTTTAGATAAACTATTTTATGCAATGCTTTTGACATGAAATAAATAATACAATTCTTCATCTCTATATAAGATTATATCGTATTTATCTTTAGTTAATCAAATTCTTCTAATTCTCAAAACTCTCAGAGATCAAATCATTTCACATATCCTTCTTTCATATACTTAAGAATGTTTGTTGTATCCATATTATCTAGTTCATTGCGTAAAATATGTAACAGATCAAAATTTTAACATGACATCCCCATGTTGAATTTTTTCTTCCATGTTTGAAGGGTTCCCAATCTTTCTTGAATATTGAAGGGTCTTTTATCTGAATATATCTTGTCAACATTTCTATTACTGCTATTTCAGCTATTTTTGCCATCCATTCCTCCATTTTTGGTATTTCTTCTAGTTTCCACCCACGCATATGCAAAACTTGCTGCAGTTGTCATTAGAATGAAAAGTCTGTCACATGAGCAATCTATCTGTTATTCCTACTAAGAATGTTTCTGAATTTGTGGATATATTTAGTTTTAATACTTTTTCTATAGTTTTATGGATCTCAATCCACATTTTGTTTGCCTTCTTGCAAGACCACCACATATGCCCACAATTAATAATTGTTGGTGCTATAGGGCTCTTAACAACTTCCAATGACTGTCAGCATGCAAACATGCTTTGCATTACTATTATACGTCACAGACCTTCATTTCCTTAGATCTAAATGTCTTCCTCCTTGAGCTATATACTCTGTATTTGAGGATCTGGGCTGCAGTCAACAAAGGTGTTGTAGCTCAACCTCAGCCGGGGGCTGATGATGGATTCACTGATTATTCAGAAGGGATTGTGGGTTTTCCTGGGGTTCAAAGTGATACAGATTCAGGCCAGGTTCAAAGTGTTGAAGATTCAGGCCAAGGAAATGAAACTGGCTCAGACTGTGCCAAGCTCCAAGGTCAATCACAGGAATCAGAAACAACATCATCACATAAGGGATGGAGCAAAGAAGAATTAAGTGAAATGGAAAACTCTCAAGGGAAAGCACCTAGTGTTACAGAGATAAATAAAAGTCTTAGTTTACAGTGCAGAGCAGATAATTGGGTCCGTAGGTCCAAGAAAGTATGCGGAAAAAGGTAGAGAAAATTATTGGGAAAGAACATGATTTCATGAATGCTTATTAACACAGCCAGTTGTTTACCTTATAGTGAGTTCAGGCAACATTGACTTTCGAGGGAGAAGCTAGGCCTGAGTTCTTGTGTCAAGTCTTGGTTTTGGATTCAAGTATCCTGGAAGTTTTCTATATTCTTGTTTTATGATACTTGCTCAAGTTTTCTAAGCATACCTTTTGTTTATGGATTTCTGATGTACTTGTGAGTTTTGGCTATTCCTGGACTGTGTTACCCTTGGATTTTTATGAGATATTTGGATTCCTGTGTGGCTATCACCTATTGCTAAACCTTTTTTGGATTATCCCTCTCCTTTCTTATCTCCTGCTTTTAATAATATATTTATGTGTTTCTTACAATAAGCTGTTTGCTTATACTCTGGTCTTTGTATGGTGCTGTGATCATGGGTGGCTCTAGGCCTGGGGTGTAACAAAAGGTCAAATCAGAATCTACAGGGTGAGTGTACCCTAAGTATCCAGGAAACCTGCCAGAGAAAACTACTGGGCAAGTCACTCTCTCAGCCTGAGAGGAAAGCAATGGTCAACCTTCTCTGAATAAATCTTGCCAAAAAAATTGCCAGAAAAACCTCATGTATGATAGTGAAGAGGAAGGCTCCTCTTTAGTTACAGAAGAGGAGGAAGATCTCTCGGTCAGACTGCTAGAACTTGTCTCAATAGGATCACCATAGCTCAGACTCAACCTGAAAGCCCATAGCACTAACATGAGAAAAAACACGGAGAGTAGCCAACTCCAATTTTCCTATCCTAGTTCTCTGAGGGAACATTTCCAGCACTTTTTCAAAAGACTTAAACTTATGAATATTAAATTGCACTTAACTGTTTAAATTACCGTATGTTGTTTATTATATAAGATCTTCCTTTTCTGTTTCTCTTAAACCACCTTGATATGAAACCCTGCACAGAACTCTTTCAAATAACTAAATGAAGTAAAGAAAAAAATAAAGGGCATGAATCTGCTCCATCTTGATTTCTCTCTTCTGTTTTTAGGGGCTTCCCTGGAGTGTGAGATTTGTCAGGCTCATGCATCCCACAGTTGTGTGGGACGCATGGAAACTTGTCCTCCCGCTTTTGACAGATGTGGCACTCTTTTGACAGAGGCTGACTTAGGTAAGTGCTCACTGCCATCAGTCAGGACTGACCTGCTTATGAGGTACATTAAGGTCTTAGATTGATTGTGGCCAAGCTATGCCTTCACCTGGATTGACATCCAGAATCCTTTCCTCAGATGTTGTGCTAGGAAGTATTGGGAATCTTGTCCCCCGACATTTCACTCCACAACAGCAGCTGGATGGCACTGAATCCAGCCCTGTACTCTGATCCAAATGGTCACTTATTAACTGCAGCCAATCAGCTCCAAAGTCCCATGCACAATCTGGATGAGATGATCTTAGTGGTATCCTGAGAAATACAAGGGAAATGGTCCTGAGAGATTTTCAGATCTGTTCCTTTGCATTGGTGTAAAACAGAATCCTTAACACTAGCATATAGAATGCAGCTTGACGCCACTTTAACTGCTATGACTCAATACTATGAAATCTTGGAAGTTGTAGTTTTACAAGAGCTTTAGCTTTCTGTGCCAAAGAATAGCAGTGCCTCATCAAACTACAACTCCCCAGATTCCATAACATTGACTCAAGGTAGTTAAAGTGTCAAATCACCTGATAGTTGTTTACACTGCAAAGGGATAGTACATCTTCTTTGAGTAAGAGCCAAAATATATTCAACACCTTGGATAAATCCTTTAACGTTTGGATTCAAACCTGGAATGGAATCATTGCCTCACTGACATGCCAGACCCCATCCAGACTGGCCCCAAAATCGGGACCTGGTGCAGTTTTACCAGAGGCATCCAAACAACTCCTCCTGGTGGTGTCCCCATTGCCATCTCACACCCCATTGCCATCTCCTGGAGCCCAAAGGCACCCACCCTTCTCCCCAAGCCTCAAAATTATCCCTAAAAATAAAATAAAATTTACCTTGCTGGGCATGAGGAGGGCACGAGGAGGAACATTATGGTAGCCAGGTAAGTTTTATTTTATTTTTAGGGGTAATGTTGCAAGGGGGGGGGGGGTTGGGGTGGCTACATGCCATCCTGATTGTAATTGGAATAGCATGTAGCCACCTTCCTGGGAAAGCCTACATTTTGGGGGGGGGGGGGGGGGGTGGGAATTCACACCAAAGAAACGAAAGTTATCTTAAACCAAACGCTGTGTTGCGAAAGGACGGGGAAGCTTTTGTTTGGTGCTGTCTGGGAGAGGCACGCCTTGATGGTCGTTGACAAAAGGGGGAAAAAGAAAAACGCCATATATTCACTTGAATAGTTCAGGAGCAGGTCAAATGTTCCATCAACAGGGACAGACAACAACTGTCACCAGAGTGAGTATATAGATGAAGCTGGGTTTTATGACCTGACAATCCAACTCCACAGACATCCATATGATGTGTCTTTAAGATGCCATGAATAATAGCTAGTACTATCACTTTCTTTCACATAATGTGTTGCTTTTCTGATGCCTACAGGAGTTCCAATGAAGGGAATCATGAAGATGTGCATGAAATCTCATCTCTGTGACAGCAAAACGGTTATCAATATGGGCCAAGCAGGAATAGCCTCGAACCAAGTTTCTTGCTGTATGGAAAATGAATGCAAAAGGTTCACGCCCACTTGTATGTCACTGTTTGTTCCCCTTTCCTTCACTTATTTCTTAATTACCACATATACTTGTGGTAATTATACTTCTAATTACTTGTGGTAATTATATTTATACATGATTCAACCTCATGTATAAGTCGAGGCATTTTCTGGGGCCGCAACCACTATTTTCTAACTTGAGCATCCAAAAAGACCTTTTACCACTCTACTCAGAGAAGAGTATAGTTCCTTTTTTCATCAACATCTCTGAGTAAAGTAAAAGGTGAGAACTTAGCATATCCCAAAGAACCTAAAAGAAGCACCTCTGCTCTATAGGTACTCCTTTGAGGGGAAGCACCAAAGAGCTTCTGCTTCCGCTACCATTTTCTTGCACAGGAATTTTAAAAGTAGAGAGGTTCAATACTTCTTTTATTGTCACAGAACAGATTAAGCCCTTCCTTTTGCCACTATACTTAGAGAATGGGATGGTTCCTTTTTTGGTGAGATTTAAGGTGTGACAATGACATTGAGCAGTGGATAAATTGACCCAAGATTTGCGGTCATTTTTTTGACCAAAAAGTGTAGACATCAGTATAGCTGCATTTATTTCCTTCTCTGCCTTTTACTGAATTCAAGTGGCAGCATACACATGTGCAATCTCTGTAAATCTCTGTAAAATCCAGATTATCTGCTTTAAACTGGATTATATTAGTCTACACTGCCATATAATCTAGTCCAAAACAGATAATCTGGTTTTTATATGGCAGTGTAGAAAGGGGCCTAGTTTTCTTTTATATTTATATAAATAAAAATGTAATGTTCGTTTGTGGGATTAACATAACTCCAAAACCACTGGATGAATTGACACCAAATTTGGACACAATACACCTATCAGTGGCAAGACTATACAGAAGATCTGTATAGGAAGGATAATAATACTGAGAATAGTTTTGACGGTGCAGTGAGTGAATTAGAACCAGACATCCTGAGGAGTGAGGTTGAATGGGCCTTAAGAAGCATTGCTAACAACAAGGCAGCAGAAGACAATGGGATCCCAGCTGAACTGTTTAAAATCTTGAAAGATGATGCTGTCAAGGTGATGCATGCCATTTGCCAGTAAATATGGAAAAACACAAGAATGGCCATCAGACTGGAAAAAATCAACTTATATCCCCATACCAAAAAAGGGAAATGCGAAAGACTGCTCAAACTTCCGTACAGTGGCCCTTATTTCTCATGCCAGTAAGGTAATGCTCAAGATCCTGCAAGGAAGACTCCAGTAAGACATGGAGCGAGAGTTGCCAGATGTACAAGCTGGGTTTAGAAAAGGCAGAGGAACGAGAGACCAAATTGCCAATATCCTCTGGATAATGGAGAAAGGCAGGGAGTTTCAGAGAAACATCTATTTCTGTTTTATTGACTATTCTAAAGCCTTTGACTGTGTGGATCATAATAAATTGTGGCAAGTTCTTGGTGGTATAGGCATACCAAATCACCTTGTCTGTCTCCTGAAATCTGTATAAGGACCAAGTAGCAATAGTAAGAACTGACCACGGAACAACAGACCGGTTCTAGATTGGGAAAGGCGTATGGCAGGGTTGTATACTCTCACCCAACCTTTTTAACTTGTATGCAGAACACATCATGTGATGTGCGGGGCTTGATGAATGCAAGGCTGGGGTAAAAATTGCTGGAAGAAACATTAACAACCTTAGATATGCAGATGACACCACTCTGATGGCCGAAAGAAGAGCCCCTGGACAGTTCTAATAAATTTTAAGGCAGTTTCACTGTCCCATAGAAGTTGGAGTAACCCACTTCTCCTTCTCACCATTGCACGAAGTGGCCACCTGTTCAAATAAGACCAACATGAGAAATATTTGATTTTTTTTTGTAATATTCTTGGCAATACACTTCTTCTTCTATCTCAAATCTACATAGTGACACCCATGGATAAAACCCCCAATGGGCTGGTATGCCCAGGCTGTTTGCAGTGGAACAGATTTGAATGCAGAGTGGAGGAACAGGTCCATTGTACCGGAGAGCAAAATAAATGCTTTACTGTGTCTGGGACAAGCACCCATGGTAACTAAACTCATGGACATCTATAGAATCAAAATTATCTGACATCCAACCTACCTATGTGGCTATAGTTCCATCTGTGATGTTGACACTTCAAAGGCTAAACTGAAGGGGTGGAGAACTGAAAAGGGGAAATATAACCTTTTAAGGTTCACAACTGGGAATGATGGTAGGTTGAATTAAGTACTTTATAATACTAACTTTATGCAATAAGATTCTGGCATTCATGATCAGAATCTGTCGACTACCAGGCAGTTCACCCAAGTTTATGTAAAATTCTTGCAAAACCATGTGCTGGCTGCAATTGAGTGAAAAAAGGCTATAACAATTGTTAAGTTTCAACAAAAAGGTGCAAGCGCTATTATTGAGAAATGGCCTAAATCCAATTGTTCGTCCCTACTAGAATAAATCGACTGAATTATCTGGATTTACTTGTGTGCTGACTCACCGTTCAGCAATTGATTCAATGGATCTATTCTAGGTTGTTGTAGGTTTTTCAAGTTGCATGGCCATGTTCTATTTATTTATTTATTTATTTATTTATTTCTCGCACTTCTACCCCACCCTTCTCAACCCCTGAGGGGGGACTCAGGGCAGCTTACAAAAAGGCACAAATCGATGCCGGCACAAGGTAAAAAATAAAACATATAAATAGTAATTAAAACAATTAAAACAATCCATTATACATCACAATCCCTAAAAACAATCTAGTGCTCAACGTTTACCAGCTCAGAGTCCGTAAATTCAAATTCCACATTGTCCAATCCATCAATTCTAGTCGTCGCTTGTCCCTTATCTATCCGCCAGATTACCCGAAGGCCTGGTCCCAAATCCATGTTTTTAATTTCCTTCTAAAGGAGAGGAGGGATGTCGATGACCTAATTTCCCCGGGGAGTGAGTTCCACAGGTGAGGGGCCACCACCGAGAAGGCCCTGCTCCTTGTCCCCACCAATCTCACTTGTGATAGAGGTGGGGCCGAGAGCAGGGCCTCCCCAGAAGATCTTAAACTCTGAGGCGGGACGTAGAAGGAGATGCGTTCGGACAGATACGCTGACCATATATAGGGTTTTGTAGGTCAAAACCAGCACTTTGAATTGTGCTCGGAATTGGATCAGCAGCCAGTGGTGCTGACATAATAGAGGGGTGGTATGCTCCCTGTATGATGCTCCGGTGAGTAATCTAGCTGCCACCCACTGGACTAATTGAAGTTTCCGAACAGTCTTCAAAGGCAACCCCACGTAGAGTGCGTGGCCAGATCAGACTTCCCAAGGTACGGGCGCAACTGGCGCACAAGTTTTAATTGTGCAAAAGCTCTCCCGGCCACCGCCGAGACCTGGGGTTCCAGGATCAGCGATGTAAGGACAACCTCTGAGGATGCTTGCCACAGATGCAGGCAAAACATCAGGAGAGAATGCTTCTAGAACATGGCCATACAACTTGAAAAACTTACAACAACCCAGTGATTCCGGCTGTGAAAGCTTTCGACAATACATTGGATCTATTCAAATTTGAGCTAACCAACAGGATTTCAACCTATATATGTCATTTTTGTACTTTGCATCTTATACTGATATTCCTGTTGTTAACTGCCATCAAGTCAACGTTGACTTATTACAACCCTATGAATGAAATATTTCCAAGCCAACTGGGTATCAGTTGCCCTGGTCAGATCCTACAAGAGCAGCGCTTTGTTTACCTCTCTGAACATATATCCCTCTATGAGCCAGCTAGGAGATTATGATCTTCTGGGGAGGCCCTGCTCTTGGTCCCACTTCCTTCACAGATGCAATTGGTGGGGACGAGAGACAGGACCTTCTCAGTAGTGGCCCCTTGGCTTTGGAACTCCCTCCCTAGTGAAATTAGATCAGCCTCCTCTCTTCTGACCTTCAGGAAAGGGCTAAAGACAGGGATGGGGAACCAAGCATTCGATTAATAATCTATCAGTGAAATAAGATAATATGGAACACTGCAATGACAATTTGGAATGGCTGCAGATTATGATACTGGATTACATGATGTTAAATAAGTGATTTTAAGGTTTTGATATGTTTGGATGATTTTTAATGTTCGATGCCATGTATGTTTGCATGGCATCTAACTGCTGCCTACACATGTAAGCCCCTGGTGGCACAATGGGTTAAACCCTTGTGACATCAGGACTCCTGAATGAAAGGTCAGCAATTCAAATCTGGGAAATGGGGTGAGCTTCCATCTGTCCACTCCAGCTTCTCATGCAGAGACATTAGAGAAGCCTCCCATAGGATGGTAAAACATCCAGGTGTCCCCTGGGCAATGTCCTTGCAGACAGCCGATTCTCTCACACCAGAAATGACTTGCAGTTTCTCAAGTTGCTCCTGACACCAAAAAAAAAAAAAAAGCTGCTTTGAGATGCCTGCGGGATGAGAAAGGCAGTGTATAAATATGGTAAATAAATAAATAAATAAATAGTGCCCCTAGGTAGAAAAAGCAGAGAAAGAGTTATTTGCAGAAATGCAGCACAATTCTCCTTATGTTTTCAATATGATTATATTTATATGTCTATTCTTTTCTATGATATGTCTCTTTACAGGAGAAACAAACTTTCCATTGACCATGAAGGGCTGTACAAACAGTGCTGAGTGTGACAGATTGATTGACCATTCAGATACTGTTACAGGGTTCAGTTTAATTATGTCACTCAATTGCACTCCGGCCCCTGGCAATCATGTCTCCAAAACAGCCAGGAACATTTCAGATTCATATGGAGTTTTTTTCTCGATACTTGCTGCACTACTCCTTGTCAAAATCTTCATTTGAATCCATCCACCCAAGGGCTGCAATTCAGGTATGTTCTACTGGGTCACTTATTTGGGGCTCTTGAACCATATAAATAAAACAATAAGAAGTGGCAAAACACTCATGGTTCTGGGTTTCCGTGAGTTTTTTGGGCTGTATGGCCATGTTCCAGAAGCATTCTCTCCAGACTTTTCACCTACATCTGTGGCAGGCATCCTCAGAGGTTGTGAGGTCAGTTGGAAACTAGGCAAGTGAGGTTTATATATCCGTGGAATAATGTCCAGGGTGGGAGAAAAAACTCTTGTCTGATTGAGGCAAGTGTGGCCAATTGCAACATTCACACTTGCCTCAAGCAGACAAGAGTTCTTTCTTCCACCCTGGACATTTCACAGTAATATAAACCTCACTTGCCTAATTTCCAACAGACCTCACCTCTGAGGATGCCTGCCATAGATGTGGGTGAAAGGTCTGGAGAGAATGCTTCTGTAATATGGCCATACAGCCTGGAAAACTCACAGCAACTCATTGATTCCAGCTATGAAAACCTTCGACAACTTGTGGTTCTGTTTATCCCACTCCTGAATGTAAAGGCCTCCAGAAATAATAATAATAATAATAATAATAATAATAATAATAATAATCTTTATTTATACCCCGCCATCTCCCCAAAGGGGACTTGGGGTGGCTAACATGAGGCCACACCAAAGATACAAATACAACAAAATCAATATTTTATTTGTAGTGCAAAAAAAAAAACAAAAACCCTCCCAAACACTTTAAAACAATACAATAATTAAAATGAAGAACAATTTTAACAAACATAAACTTATTAGTATTTCAATTGAAAGTGTGGGCATGCTTTTGGCTGATGAGATAGGATTGTTGTTGTTGTGGTGTGCTTTCAAGTCATTTCAGACTTAGGTTGACCCTCAGTGAGTGCCAGGTAAATGACCTTGGAGGGCCGTATCCGGCCCTCAGGCCTTAGTTTGAGGACCCCTGCTCTAGAGTCTTCAGATGCCCATATTGACTTTACATAATGCTATACTATTTATTTATGGTGTCAGAAGCAAGTTGATGGTACAGTTAAAATACATTTTAAAACACAAACAAAATTTTAAAAACTTGGCTTTATGCTAAATGTCCTTTGACCAGAAGCTGGCCACTTGAAGTGCCCCTGACGTTGCTATAAGAAGGTCCTGCATTGTGCATGTGGCAGGGCTCAGGTTGCATAGTAGTAGGTGGTCTGTGGTTTGCTCTTGTCCACACTCACATGTCATGGACTCCACTTTGTAGCCCCCCTTTCTTAAGGTTAGCTCTGCATCTTGTGGTACCAGAGTGCAGCCTGCTACACTGAAGTCTTGTGACTTCTTGAAGGCCATGCGAGTTTGCAGCTGCACAGTGATACTACCATTTAGTAACTCAATTAGATTTGGGTGAAATATTAGACACTATTTATATACTAAATGTAAGCTAAATGGACACAGTTGGACTTCTAGGGTTCCTTTTCTTCTTTTTTTTCTTTTTTCTTTTGTAGTTGGTGAGATTCAAGTTAAGATATCATGTTCATCCTCAAGAAGACTGGTGAAAGAGAACAAGCTGTTCCAGCTTTTTGCACTTGGTGACTTCTTACCATCTCTGTATGATTTACATTTTGGCTTTTTCTTTATGTACGTATTCTAATAGTTCCTGTTCAAAATACTATGGCTTAGCTATTCACACTTGCGAAATATTTATCTCCCTTTTTATTCTTGTATTTTGTATACGCAATTTATATAAATAAAAATGTAATGTTTGTGGGATTAACATAACTCAAAAACCACTGGACGAATTGACACCAAATTTGGACACAATACACCTATCAGGCCAACAAGTGACCATCACTCATAAAACACTGAAAAATACAGCAGAAGAGACTTAAAAAACCAAAAGCAAAAAGATGCTACTGTGCATGCGCAAAAACAACTCCCCCTGGCAAACAAAACACAGCTCCCAGCATCCCCTAGTCCAGGACCTTTAGGAGAGGAGGATGATCCAAATGCACTGCTTCCAAGCTGCAAGCTTTCTTCTCCTTGGATTTCTTTGAGAGTATCCCAATCCCTGCATATTTCCAATTTCCTATTCCTGCAACTCCCAGCAATCCTCCAGATAGATAGAGACCGATAGGTAAGTAGATAGATTGATCAGGAGGATTGCTGGGAGTTGCAGTCCAAGAATTGGTAGAGAAGGAAGAAAGGACAGAAAGAGGAAGGAGAAAGGGGGGGAAGGAAGGAAGAGAAGAGAGAAGGAAGGAGAGAAAGAAAGAAAGAAGAAAGAAAAAGAAAGAGAGAGAGAGAAGAGAAGAGAGGGAGGGAGGAGGGAAAGAAAGAGGGAGGGAGGGAAAGGAAGGAAGGAAGAAGAGAAAGAAAGAAGAGAAAAAGGGAGGGAAGGTTGGCAGGTACAGCTAGTATGTTTATAGACGTGTAGTTGTATGATTTGTAGCACTCTCATTTTTGCCATTATTATGGGATTCCAAAGCATTTACTCTGTTTTTCCCCTCGTTTACAAAATCAAAATACCTTTCCAATGATCTACTGACTGCTTTTACAGTCAAAATACAGTGTTTTTAGTCCCACCCGTTTGCCTCTGGTACTACCCACCAGTGGAATGTCCTTCCTTCAAACTTCTCTAAAATAGAACAAATCTCTCAAGCTGGAAAAGATGGCTCTTTTGAATTCATACAGTGCTCATTCCCAACCAATATGTTGTAAAACTCTGTGTTCTGTCATTGGCATTTAGTCCTTTCCTTCTTTGCACTCTGTCAATACATGAGGGCACTAAATTCTATTTCAAGGAGAGACCACCACCCTTTCAGATAATCTTCCCCACTATAGAACACATCTATACACATAATAAAAGTGAAAAAATGTGTATGTGGCAAAGGTGTCCACTTACACAGAGAGTCTCCTACCTCCACAAGCAGAATATAATTCCAAATACGAAGAAGCCTCCAAAGTCACTCCTTCCACTGACATTGCAGGTTACAGTGAGCACCATGATCATGTTGCCCAAATGCTGCCAATGTCCTCTCCAAACACTACGGCCCACCACCCAAGTAGTGCTTTCATTCGGGGAGAATGTCACCCTACATTTGACATGTTTCCCCTACCACAGGTAGGCATCCCAGGGTTCCTTGTTGGAATTTTCATGAGCCCACCCACTGCCTCTCCCTTAACCCTTTCCTACCCTTTCCTATGGCACACAGCAAACAGAGAACCTTGGAACATACACCCAACATGGCCAGCTGTGCATACAGGTCTGGTTTGGGGAGGATTGGCCCACAATTCTAGGAATTGTATTTCACCCACGTTGTTATGTATTTTCTAATGGGAGCATTCATAAAAAATGAAATAAAAGACTGGATTTTTTCCTAATAAATAGTGGTACTAATTAAGTACATGATATTACCTAACACCCCAAAACAAAAAATGCCTTTTTCAAATAACCCGGGTACCCAAACTAGTCTTACAATAAAGAACACTTCTTACATGACAACAGAAAACACTTAATACAGCAAACAGTAGCTCCCCATTGTACGAGGGTTGAATGAAAAGTAAGGCCTCCACCTTCATAACTCCTCAACAGATGGCAGTACTGGTAAGGTATGCGACAGGTACTGGCTTGTTCAGTAGACTCTCCTCTATAGTTTCATTTTGGCGGGAAGCCTTAGCATTAAACGGTTGTGTTGTTAAAGTGCAAAGTATGGAACCCTGTGCAGATGGTCGGTCAATGCGACTTAAGCAACGTGCAGTCATTGAATTCTTGACAATAGAAGGTGTCATCCCAAAGGAGATTCATCAGAGAATGCAAGCTGTTTATGTTGATTGTGTTGATGTGAGTACTCTGCGTCATTGGGCAAGTAAAGTTTAAAGATGTTGAGGTGGGAACATCTGGCTTGCATGACAAACAAAGAGTTGGACATCCTGTGACAGCAATCACCAAGTTTCACAAGCAAAAGATTGGAAGATTGATTCAGGACGATCGTCATATCACTAGAGAGAAATTTCAAGACTGATCGGCATTTCACAAGAATGTGGGTCACATTATTGCTTTGCTTGGCTATCGGAAGATCTGTGCATGATGGGTACCCAGGATGCTGATGCCTGAAATGAAAGCGCAAAGACTTGAAACTTCAGAGACTGGATCTCACCACCATACGGCATCCTCCATACAGTCCAGATTTAGCACAGTCTGACTTCCATCTGTTCCCAATAATGAAAGAAGATCTGCGGGGACATCATTATGCTTCTGATGAAGATGTTGAGAGAACTGTGAGTCGCTGGTTGTGGAAACAGAGTGTCAACTTCTTCCGTGACAGCTTCAGAAAACTTGTTCATTGTTGACAGAAATGTATCCAATTGTCTGGAGATTATGTGGAAAAGTAAATAGTGGTAGTTAAAGAGCACATTGTAAGGATTATTTCTGCGTTTGATTTATTAAAATATTCCCATCCACACCCATGTAACAAAGGTGGAGGCATTACTTTTCATTCAATCCTCGTAGTATTTGAGATTGTAGTGTTTGAGAACCATTAGGATCTTCTACTGATAGAGATCTGGTGGCAACATAAAAATGTACAAAAAATGCACACCTACATGGCGAAATCTAAGATATTTACTTTTTCTAAAGTCTGTGTTTTATATATGAACATAGAGTCAAAAACAAGTGAAAAGGAACTTTTGTGCTGTGAAAAAAATCAAATAAGGATCTTTATAAGCAGGAGACCAAAAAGAAATGCCCCTCCAAGCTGCAAAGGAGTGGTACCACCCTTGTCAGAGGCAAGCCAGCAATGTCCTTCTGCAACTACAACAAGTTTTGACACATGGACCATACCCTTATGAAAAGCATCACAGAATGCCTTGCTTGCACAGCCTTTAAGGGCAATTTCTGTACTTGGAATTCTGTGACCTGTGGAAGCAATGGAAAGAGATGGTTAGGGAAATTCCAAGCCCAAATCCTTTTGGATCGCTGTTGCAACTTGACAACCTCTGAGGATGCCTGCCATAGATGCAGGCAAAATGTCAGGAGAGAATGCTTCTAGAACATAGCCATACAGTTCAAAAAACCTACAACAACCCAGTGATTCCAGCCATGAAAGCCTTCGACAATACAAAGACAGGTTTTCAGAAGGGGCAGCTCTATTTCTTTAGGGGTGGAATTCCAGAGGAGGGGGGATATCACGGAGAAGGTTCTCCCTCTTGTTCCCACCAGCCATATTGAGATGGGGGTGGGACCGAGAGCAAGGTCTCCTCCGATGACTGCAGTGCCTGAGTTGGCTTGTAGGCACAGATGTGGTTAGTCAAATAGCCTGAACCCACGTTGTTTAGGGCTTTAAAGGTAATAACCAGCGTTTTGCATTTAGCCCAGAAGCAGACTGGCTGCCAGTGGAGCTGTCGTAGCATGGGAGTGAATTTCTCCCTGTATGGGGCTCCATTTTGCAATCTGACTGTCAGTCTCTGAACCAACTGAAGCTTCCAAACTATCTTCAAAGGCAGCCCCATGTAGAGAGGGTTGCAGTAGTCTAGGAGGGTTGTGACGAAGGCATGGACTACTACGGCCAACTCTGGTGTCTCAATGTATGGGCGCAGCTGGCGCACAAGTTTTAATTCTGCCTACACCTGGGGTTCCAGACTGCGAACCTGTGTCTTCAGGGGGAGGTGTGTGTGATCTCATCCAACACAGGTTATAATCCCACTTAAAACAAATATTTTGCTAAAAGAAACTGTCATATTATCTGACTAGTTCTTCAAGGTTGTTTTGCAACTCCTGTCCATCCCATTTTCCCCATAAATTGAGACAGAAAGGTCAGTTACCAGCAGCTTGAACAGTTCCAGAATTTCTAAATGATGCAATTCCAGATAAATCAACACAGTACATCTGTTCTCCAGCACAATGAACAACCTCTTCTTCATTGCAGCTGGTTTTATGCAAACCAAAGCAACCTTTGCATTCCTTTCCATTTAACGTTCTGTTTATTGGTGGCACTGTGAAAAGAAGAAGAAAACGGTGGGAAAAGTTTGCTGCAAAGTCAAGAAGACAAAAAGAAACTTGCTTCTCCAGGTCCCTCTTCATTTTCTACTCACTTCTCTGGAGAGATTCTAATCTTGGCTTATTTTAGCCCCCACTCCCACCCCTCCAAATCCAGCATTTCAAATATCTTTCACCTCCTATGAATTAGAAAACAGCATTTTCTGGGCACAAGAAAAATGTTGTTTCCTGTTCAGAAAATGCTGCTTTCTGAGTGCGGAGTCATGCCTTCACATTTATAGGTTTGATTTAATTAATTTTAAATAATGCTCTCTCTTTTCTCTTCATCACATTAGAGAAAAAATCCATCTAAAATCTGGTTTCTGACACCACATAAATTAGGGAAATACTACAAAAATATAAATTCAAAATGTTGGAAGTGTGGGGAAGTGGAAGGAACCTTTTACCACATGTGGTGGTCTTGCAAAAAAAAAAAGCAAAAACATTTTGGAAGAAAATACATGAAAATTTACAAAAATATATATTAAAAATAAAGATATCACTCAAAACAGAAATATTTTTACTAGGAATTAACAAACAAAAACTGGACAGCAGCATAGATAAACTCCTCTCCTTATCAACAACAAATGCTATGTGAGACTATGGAGAAAAAATGAAATACCCAAAATTGAAGATTGGAATAAAAAGATTACATAAGAAATATGGACAGATTAACCTACTTGATACAAAAACACAAAGAAAATATAGGGAAAGAGACAGGCTGGACACTGATAACTGAATATCTAAAGTAAGAATAATAAATAAGACAATCATAAGAATAGAAACCATCCACACACCAAAAGGAGACTTTATAGAAGAAGGGGAGAAAAGAGATAAGA